TGAAATATGGCTGACAAAAGCTTCATGGTTCCCCCAACCTGAACTGCCATTGTTCAGACCCAAATTATTTCCTAGCTTTGAACATCCAATATGGCCAAAATGCTGTAACTACCAGCTCTATACATTCTTGAATTTTGGCTTTCCCTGGCACCCACCCCCCCCCAACAAATTCCCTCTCCCTTTTGCAAACCCCAGGGATTTTCCTTGAGTTAGTTGATATCAAAAATTTTCTGGAAATTTAGTCCTTCCACTCCCAAGAGTAATCAAACAAGAATTTCTCCTCACAATAACAACAAAAATTTTTGGCATATATAAAGTGATGAGAAGAGAGGAAAATATCAAATAGAGAATATTGTTTGATTTTATAACATATTCTCAGAGCTAAAATTCATAAAAAGTGTATAACAAGCCATGTGGAGAATTCATATCTGATCTTGGGAGTAAAAGGGTTATCAGCACCTTACCCAGTACTCAGTCCATTACACAAATAATGACCAAACAAACTCTACAGTAAATACCCTTTAAAACTGCTCTTAGGCTTAGACTCTAAAAATTGTGGCACTGAACAACGAACTAATGAAGTGGCTTAGAGCCAGAAAATAATAGAATAATAAAATTACCTTCAAATCCCTCAAAACAGTCACAAAAACTGGTCTGAGTTTCCTTGTTGCATTCACATAATCCCTGGTCACAACCACAGACATCGTCTTCACTATTAACTACAAAAAACATACTTTTTTATCACAAACTTGAGATTACAGCATTCACACCCTGGTGAAAAACTTCACAGGATCTTTGAGGATCTTCAAGGATTGACAAAGACCTGCCAAAGATCCTTAAGGACAAGGATCTTTAAAAGATCTTTAAAGGATCTGTAAAAGATCCTCAAAGATCTTTGTAAGCAAAAATGTTTGTTAAGATCCTCAAGGATTTGATAAAGATCCTCAAAGGATATTACAAAGATCCTCATAAAGATCCTCGCAAAGTTCTTTTCAAGGATCCTTCAAGATCCTCAAGGATTTAGCAAGGATCTTTCAAAGACCCTCAAAAGATCCTTTCAAGGATCCTTTCAAGATCTTGGTAAGGATCCTTAAGGATTTAATCAGGATCTTGCAAGGATCCTAGTCAAGATCTTTGCAGGATCTTTTTGAGGATCTTTCAAGATCCTCAAGGATTTAATGAGGATCTTTTAAAGACCTTCCAAAGATCCTTTCAAGGATCCTATTAAGATCTTTGCAAGGATCCTTAAGGATTTGATCAGGATCTTACAAGGATCCTACTCAAGATCTTTGCAAGATCTTTTCAAGGATCCTTCAAGATCCTCAAGGATTTAATGAGGATCTTTTAAAGACCTACAAAAGATCCTTTCAAGGATCCTGTAAAGATCTTTGCCAGGATCCTTAGGAATTTGATCAGGATCTTGATCAAGGATCCTTAAGTCAAGATCTTTGCAGGATCTTTTCAAGGATCCTTCAGGATCCTCAAGGATTTAATGAGGATCTTTTAAAGACCTTCAAAAGTACCTTTTAGGGATCCTGCTAAGATCTTTGCTAAGATCCTTAAGAATTTGATCAGGAGTTACAAGGATCCTAGTCAAGATCTTTGCATGATCTGTTCTACAATCCTTCAAGATCCTCAAGGAATTGAAAAGGATCTTCCAAATATCTTTAAAAGATTCATTTCATGATTTTGTACAGCTCTTTGTAAGGATCCTTTTTGAATTTGATGTGGATCTCAAAGGCAACTTTGTCAAGATCTCTACCACATCTCTGCATTATGAATTAGGTTTCTTTGAAATCCTCAAGTAATTTCAAACATAACAAAATTGTAGATTGAGGGCTCACTGTTTTATAATTTAAACACAACAAGGAATTTTCGCAGAAAATTATTGTGCAATGAGTGTAATGAAGATTACCTCATAGCAACGCCATGCTAGAGGCTTTCGGAAAACTTTGTGACTACTTACATGACAACAAATAGGGTTTTGCATTATGGGATAGGAATTTATACGCGCCGAGATTTTTAACGGTCGCATGAAAACATAAGAAGCTCGTTGTTACGGCAAATATCATCGACAATGGTCGGAACTAAAGGGAAAATGTACACAGAAATAAAAGTAAAGGAAAGGCGTTTTCTGGAGTTCAGAAACAAGCGAAAAGAGAGACAGAAACAACCGAAATCGTCAATCAAACTCCAAGCAGGTCTCGCGATTGCTCTGACTCTGAGGCTGAATGAAAATAATTCATTGGTACTTCTGGAAAGAAAATGAAGATGCCATCCTCGCCTAATGATTCTTGCTCTGAGCTCTTGGAGAGTGAGGATGCAAATGATGTGTTACAGGGACAAGGATACAGGCTTATCGATCTAGAGAGATTCTCCTCGACGCTCACTGAAGGACATGTTTCTGAAGAAGGTGTGAATTTACTTGGTTCTGTGTAACCAACTTAAAAAGCTCTTTTAGAGGTTTTCATATGAATTCCCAAAAACACTTATTTTGTACCTCAGGATGTATTAGTTCAATTAATCTGAGGTTTTCAGGGCTGTATCCTCTTACTGAGTTGAGTTGGATAAGATGACAGTTTTTCTATAAGCTGAATTTTAAGTAAGATATTGTGGAATAACTCACCTAATAATCACGGTGAACTTTGAACGGGCACTGTGCCCATAATATAAACGACTCCAAAAGTTCCTCAGCTCATCCAAAAGAACGACCCTAGTACTTTGTTTTGACACTAAAAACACTTGATTTCATGCAATCTTTGTGCAGTTATCTTTTCTCAAGTATACCTAGGTTTTTCACACCATGTGGTGGACAAATTGATCTGATGTCAAATAACAAATTGGTTTAGGGCAACATATTAGTTATATTCAGTATGTGTGATTCCTAAGCTTTCCTTTGGTATATAGGTTAATATGGTTTAGAAATATAGTCATTGAAATACTCTTGTTTGCCTTTTTTTTCATGTTTACCCCCTCTGTAAGAGTAGTCTGAGTCTGGTCATAGTCTAGTCCTAGACAAGTTGAACACATATATTTTGGTCTTCTTATCTTTGAGCTGGACTGTTGCCAGATTTTTTGGAAAATGATAATCTTAGTGCTAACCTAAAGTCTGAACAGAAATAGTGTAGAAGTAGTCCTACTAGAAGAGGATGGGTAATTCTCGTTTAGCAATAAAAAAAGTTTTATCTTCATTTTTTTATGTTTGGTTCAATTTTTCTTTTTAACTTAGTATGAGGATTTAAGTATGCTTATTTTCTTGTCAAAATTTTGAAGGTTCTGTAACATTCTTGCTAAGATCTTCAACGATCTTCCATTTCCTTGCCAGGATCTTCAAGGTTCACTGACATTCTTGTCAAGATCTTTAAGGATCTTCAAATCTCTTGCAAAGATCTTTAATTTGGCTGTCAAAATCTTCAAGGATCTTTCTTTTTTTTGCCAAGATCTTCAAAGATCTTTCAAGTTATTGCCAAGATCTTTAAGGGTCTTTTATTTTCTTTCCAAGATCTTTAAGGATCTTCAAAATTTTCAACAAGATCCTTGAAGATCTTGGCAAGAAAATGAGAGATCCTCAAAGATCTTAACAAGAATTTGGAAGATCCTCAAAGAATTTTCAAAGATCTTTAAAGGATCTTCAAAGTTCATGTAAAGATCTTTGAAGATCCAGACAAGATCTTCAAGGATCTTGACAGGAAAATGAAAGATCCTTAAAGATCTTGGCAAGAAAGTCAAAGATCCTCGAAGATCTTGGCAAGAAAATCAAAGATCCTTGAAGATCTTGGCAAGAAAATCAAAGATCCTTGAAGATCTTGGCAAGAAAATCAAAGATCCTTGAAGATCTTGGCAAGAAAATCAAAGATCCTTGAAGATCTTGGCAAGAAAATGAAGGATCCTTGAAGATCTTAACAAGAATTTTGAAGATCCTCATGAAGATCCTCAAGAGGATCCTCAAAGGTCCTCATGAAGATCTTGAAAGATCCTTAAAGATCCTTGAAAGATTTTCACCAGGGTGCAATCAAAACCATAAAGAACAAATTTTACTCAGTAACGAGTTCAACTATAACCAGCCATGTCTTTTGATTATTTTTGTTTGCTTCGTAGAGTATCTCTCCTGTCTTGTCATTGAGAACTTTGTCAAAACAAAGTGTAAAAGCTGAAATTGAATGACAAAGGGAGCAACAAAAGGGTCTTGAGAACAAATCCTCCTGCATCCACCTTTGCAATTCTTGCAAATGCTTGCATATTAAGATCTGATAATGATGGAGAAAGTTGTAAACTTTGATGACTTTGTTTTGAAAATTGCATAATCAAAGGCAGGAGAATGAAACAAAAATTACTAAAAACAACTGACAACATGCACTTGATCTTACAAGCGTTACACCTCTGTTAGTTTTAATCATTTTTTGCCTTAATTCTACACTAGATATTCCTGTTATAGTGATGAGAGGAAAAGATTCTCAAAAAAGAAAAAAGAACTTAAGAAAATATATGACATTTTTAAAATACATGTTTCAGCAGTTCTTCTGTCATCTTCAGTTCTGACTTATACAAAGTACAAAGTTGAATTTAACGTGTATAACAAAATGCTCATTACACAAAACAAAGAATAGAAATTAAAAAATGTATGCAATTACAAGGAAAGTTTTAAATTAACATGATAAAGTTGTAGATTAAGTGTGGGTTGCTCCCACTGAATGTGAATAGCTTCTTTGATCTTAAATTGGAAAGTTGTGGAAGTGTGATCTAAGATGCTAAAAAAAAGGTAAAAAACAAAATGAAGCTTACACTGTGAGCAGTTCTTGCCACTCCATCCTGGACAACAATCACACACGTAATCATTCACTTTGTCAGTACACTTTCCTCCATGCTGACAAACTGAAGGTTTACAATCATCAGTATCTGAAATTAAATTAAAAAAAGAACATCAGACAATTCTGTCTGGAAGGATTGATCGAGAATAAAACTTTTAAATATACAAATTTACCTCTCATTACCAATCCAACATAATAAAAACATTCTGGACAAGAAACCAAACTACTCTTTCAGAATGTTCCATCATGCACACATGTTCTCAAACTTCCAATGATCAATGATGTCTATTAACCCTTTCCACCCCAACATCAGTATCCATATTCTTCATTATCTCCTCAATACATTTCTTTTGATACTGACAAGGAGAATTTGTCTATCAATCAAAGCTTCTCAGTTGGTGATCATTTCCTTTAATTCTCATGCTCTTAATGAATGAACCAGCAGCATTACTGTGAGAGATTAGATGCTAGTTACTCTTAGGGTTAAATTGGCTTAAGACATGAATTCAAAACACAAGATTTGCCATCATTACTTGTCTTGAGATGTATTGAAATATTTATCTTCATATCACCCTTTAAACCCTATGAATGACACTTAATATCTAATTTCTCCTTGCAGTAATGAGAATAGAGAAATGATCCCCAACATAAGAAGCTTTGATTGTTACATATATTCTCCTTATCATTACCAAAGGAAATTTATAGAGAGGAGTATGGAGGATATGGATACTGATGTTGTTGCCAAACAATGGATTCAACTGGTTATAATTTGTCAACAAGTATTGATTGGTTATGGATACTTTAATGGGAATAAAGTGCTGTATATGATAACTTATATTTGGTCTGAGGGGGAACATTCATTTTTTTCTCCCTTTAGAGTCTCAAAAGCTCTTTTAAACAACATACTGATAATCTTCAACAATATCCTCCAAGTAAAAAAAAATTGTCAAAAAAAATTTGTCAAAAACTAAAGAAAGTCATCATGGGAAAGTGTTGTGTTGTTTTCTGTGCGGTGTGGCTCTATATCAAGGGTATGATTTCTCTCATTTTCTTCCCCTCGATGCTCTTTTTGGAATAAATCTGGTGGAAAAATTTAACAGGCCTCTAATTGAAATGAAATAACTTACTAATTTCACAGGCTGAGCCTTCAAATCCCCTTGGACAATAACAAGCATAGCTTCCCAAATTGTTGATGCAATTATGTCCTGCTGGACAAGGAGAGTCTGCTGCCTCACACTCATTGATATCTGAACAAAAATCATTGAATTTCTCATGATTTATGTGTGGTCATGTACCTTTTCACTTAACCATAGTCATGACAGGTTAACTAAGTATTATCAACTGTGTTGATAATGCAAACTGACCACTGTAAAAAGTTTCAAAGCTGACATTTTGAGCATTAGCCCTTTGCTGTTCACTCTGATGCTTCTAGAGTGCTCTTCATCATCCCAAGAGCTAAACATCTCAATGACCACACAGCTGACCCATGAGCAAAATAATTGTTTCATAGCATTTTTAACCTAGAAGTTGAAACAATGTCCCTTGAGAAATTCACTCTGCAGCTTCAAGACATCTATTCACATCATCTACATGCTTAATGAAAATAATTATGAAGCACATGCACGCAATTGAGTTTAATGGCACAAAATTACTAGCTCTGTTGAAATAGAAGGCATGAAGTAGACAGTAACAGTTCATTATGTATTGTGATCATCATGGTGAGGGTCTAAATCCCAAAAAAAGAAAAAACCAAACCTGATGACTGTCTGTTGTTGTAAAATAACCTCAGCAGAGGTCATCATCAAGGTCTGGTGAAAATCCTTTAAAATTAATTGAGCATACTTTGTGACAAATTGTTGTTCAATTTTGGCCTGATGAACATTATCAGCAGTAATGAAACTAAAATCGACTGACCTTGGCCCTGTTCACATCTGTCCCCATAAAAGCCCTTGATGCATTTACAGGTGAAAGATCGCACACCATCTACACATGTACCACCATTCATACTGCAAAACAGAAAATAGTCACTTGTTTTGGTTGACTGTCTATTCTGGCAGGAAGGTCAAGAATCCCTAGACAGACACCCCAGACACCAGAAAAATTGGCAAGACCTCTAGTCCCTCTATATTAAATACACAAGGACATAAAGTTTTAACAGCTCTGTGACTTGATCATGAATGCAGAAATAACTTTAAGACAGAGATCACTAACTGGTAACACTATTTGGTAACTGTAACAAAATTCTCAAATGTAATTGGTTATCACCAGCCTGTTTTGAGCACCAATAAGACAGTGTAAGTGTTCTAATTGTAATTGGACAGTGTATGGATCATGCCCCTATAACTGGACAGTATGCATCACATGTGTGCACTGTTGTCAACTGTGCATTTTGCCAATTTAACAGTTATTTTTTAACCAAAATGTATAACCAGTGACTAGTTTGTTTCTCAAATGTTTCCATGGTTTCATTGATTGGTAACAGGGCTTCATGTTATCCAATTCTGACTGTAATCATACTTGTAATTAACAAATTGGACTCTCCCTTTGCAGCCATCTGATTTTGTTAATCACTTGTATTAAACCAGACAGAATTGGGCTCCACTCATCCAAATGTTGCCACACTTTACTTACCATGAGTCTGGCTCACAATCATTGATTCCTAGATAAAGAAAGAAATTGGGTTGAATGACACTGACACAAAAAAATCAATGCAATCACTGCCTTTAGATTAAAGTGGGTGCAAGTCGTACAACTAAAAAAATAATTATGCAGGACTGGACTTTTGGGTCCACTGAACTGACTTTGCATTTTAGAACTCTCTGCTGAGAAAAGCTAGCCTTCATTCACAGATTTGTAAAAGAGGTTTAAAAGTTAGCAGTTCATACTTGTGCTACAGCGTTCCCCAGTGTAATCATCGTTACATTGACACTTAAAGCCACCTGGCAGGTCCAGACAAACAGAATTTTGACCACAAAGTTGAGATGAGTTTACACACTCATTGATATCTAATGGTGAAAAAAAAAACAGATCAAAATATTTCATCAACAAAAAGGTGAAGATATCACAAATAAGAGTTTAAAATACATCACATCTGCATGTTTGTATACTCTCTAATAAATTTCCAATTGTCAAAAGAAACAAATTAAACCATGAAAGTGAATTAAATTTTTGTTTTATCTTGTGATGCTCACCAATTTCACACCTATCTCCTTCAAAACCATCTTCACAGCTGCAGGTAAAATTATCTCCTACATCTGTACAGTTACCATTAAGACATGGACTGGGATCTTGACACCAAGATGAGTCTAAAACATACGACACAAGATTAAAAAAAGTTATCTCCAGAAACAAGCTTCTTTGGTTGGAGATCATTTCCTTTATTCTCATGATCTTAATGAATGATTCAGCTGCATTAGTGTAAGGAGAAATTAGATGCTGGTCACTCTCAGGGTTTAAAGAATTAAGTGTTCTGCCCATAAACACAACACAATGACCTGCCCAGTTCACAAACCCACACATCTTGACCCACAGTCCACCACACTGACCACTGGGACACCATATGCATCTTCCACATCAATATTTCATGATCTGTATCATTCTCAACCCTTTAGTTAACTGTGTTGTGTTGAAAGGTTGATTCAACTTAGATCCTGGAGGAACAACTAAACAATCTTAATTCAATACTAACTTGACTGGCAGTGAATTCCTTTCAGTCCAGATGGGCAGATGCAATCATACCCATGAAGTCTGTCCAAACAAGTGGAGCCATGCTGGCACGAATTATTTCTACAGTCATCAATATCTAACGAGGTAAAAAATTGAAGTAACCCTTAATTTTTCAAAGTATCTATAGAAAAACCCAACTAACATCTAGACAATTGACATTTGACACATTTATTTTTAGTACCATTTTAGGTGTCTCTGAAGGGTATTAAATTTTAACCCTTTAACTTCCAGATCAAATTTGTACTTTCAACCATACAATTTGTACTTTCAACCATACAATTTTTATGGTGTTAGTTCAAAGAATTTAGTATTGCATCAACTAATTATCCTTTTTTCTTTATTCTCATAACTTATGTGGTTGACATTGTATTGATATTGTAAGGAGAAATTCTGTCTTGGTCACTAATGGGAGTTAAAGGGTTAAGGAAGAGGCTGATGGTGAAAAAAGGTAGCTTTGCCATAAAATTAGGCATATAATTCCTATAAAATTATCATCTTCACAAGGTGCAGCCAGAAGGCCTTTGAAGTGACAGTTAACCTCAGTTACGGGCCTTCAACTGAAATTCATGAATGAGAGGTAGCTAATATTCCCTCAAGAATATTTTAAAGCAAACAGTGCAACATGAAATACTGCCCAATGTAAAATGTTATCCCGTGTTTCTCTTGTGAAGCAATGCAAGACACTACAAAGTTAACAAAGGGTTGTAAGACATGGCAAAATGTCCTCAAAATTTCTCCATTACCTTCCAAACATTGCTTCTTAGCCATCTGTCAATTTCTTGGACAATAAATCAACTTTTGGTACATAATTCTCCGATACATGTATATCAGCTGCTAAAGACATAAATTTTTTCGAATTAAAACAAAAGCAACATACTTTCTGTACAATTCACTCCAGCATAGCCTGCAGCACACCCACATACATAAGTTGCATTAAATTGCTCCACGCATTGCCCCCCATTCTGACATGGATTTGGGGCGCACTCATTTATATCTACAACATAAAAACAAATCAACAAAAAAAGAAATAAAATCAATAAGTTCAAATCAACAATTAATTTAGTAAAGCTTTCTCTAAAGGAAATGAAAGATGGGAATCATTACTGCTACATGGCCTAAATTTTTTAGTAAGCATGAATACACTGTTAACAGTGAGGTCTTGAAGACTGTAAATGCCAAGTTTCCCAGATTGTTGAATAGTCTCCCTCATATGATACATAAACGATAGCCTGGTCTCTTTTACAGTTTCACATATCCCTTTAACAGAAGTATATTTGGAAAATATTCTATAACAGAGGGAAAATCAAGTAACCGTAATTTTGATTACTAGAGAGAAAACAACTGGTTTCTTTTCAACAATGGCAGTATTTTTGTGAAATTGTTCACTTTTCCATTATCAGTGTCCACCTGAATGATCTTCAGTTGAATTTGGATAGATGAGAAGGAAGATGTCAATTAAATTATTACTTTAAGGAGGAAGTTGGGGGCATGATTTCTTAATTTTCACAAACTTGCATCTTTGATTGCTTAATTCAATGACAGTTTCATACCAACATCACACTTTTTTCCAGTCCAGCCCCTGTCACATTGACATGAATATGATGTGACACCATCAACACATGTTCCATACTGTCCACAGTAACCAAACTCTGTCCATGATCCCTGACCCTCTTGGGAAAATATGTCATTTCTAGGATCACAGTAGTCAATGTCTAGAGAAAGATAAGAATTAGTAATTATATCAGTTTAACCTCCCACACAGAATCTGAAATGGGTGATTAGAGCACAGTGATGCACTTGGTTAAAGTCAGATTCATTCTACTTTTTTCCGTCCAAACCTTTTGCAATTTCTAAAAATTTCTCTACACCTAATTAACTTTGGAATAATATACTTCTATATAGAGATCCTATGATAATCCTACTTAATCATAATTCATAGATTCAGAGGACACCAGAAGGGAGACATCTAGCTTTCTGAAAATTCTACACTTTACACCAAGAACTCAAGATGTGCTCTGGCACCTTTCAATCTGGCATTTAATAAATAACCACTGACCACTGCAAATTTCAAGTAAATAATAAAAGCAAAGTCTGTATTTACCAATTTCACAGTGTGGCCCTGTGAAGATTTCATGACAGTTGCATTTGTAGCCACCATCACTTCTCAAAGTACAAGTGCCATTGTTACAGGGTCTCATCATACAAGGGTCAATTTCACAACTAGAACCATTGTACCCAGGAGGACAGAGACAACGTCGATCAGCACGCTCATTGATACAGGTCCCACTATTGTTACAACCCCTCTCTGCACAGTAGTCTATTGGGGACTCACAATGACGACCTACAAGTGACAAATGATATTGCAAGATAAGAACATTCTTGGAAATAATTCAAATGAGGCATCCAAATTATTGCTGAAAATATTTGAGATTTAATTGAGATACCTAACATCTCCTTTTATCTCGGCAGGCTTTTCTCAAAAAGACAAAAACACTTAGGATTCATCAACCTAAAACCATTGTCAAGTTCTGTCAAAACAAATTCCTCCCAGTTAAACAACTTTCTTTTAACTATCAATGACAAATGGTAATAGTATAACTATGCTCCATCAACCCTGATTTTTTAATTTGTCTTTTTGCATGGCAGCACTGTCAATTAACTATCCACTTACAGGGCGTGAAATTAACTTTTTTTTCTGATAGCCTCTTGGCTCCTAAATTCTTCAAAGTGGTAGCCAATTCAAAAAAAGTTGGTCGCCATTTTCAAAGACAAACAAAATCTTTCTTTACGCTGTCAGCGTTCAAGATAGACCCTCCAAAATTAAGTTAGGGAAAAGATCTTTAACGTGCTACAAAGTGGACACTAGGATGGATGATATACAACGTTCAGGCTCATCTAAATCCAAGATGGCGTCTAGTTATCGATCGAGATGCATGTGCTACATTTTGGAAACAAACTTAACGAGGAAATTTGCCGCGGATTTATCTTTGCAAATCTTTTTAATTCACTATATCTCTTGTTAAGATTATGATGAAACGTTCTAGTCGCCAATTTGGCGCCTAACTTTCAGGATTTGGTCGCCAAAGTGAAAAATTTAGGCACATTGGCGCCTGTATTAGGTGCAATTTCACGCCCTGACTTAGAAAAAAAGATTCCAAGATTCTATGTTGGTATGCATCTGTTCAATAAAAGATTACAAATGACGTCAAAATAAGGTGAGAACAAAAAGTGGCACATGAGACACAGCCAAGTGTGTTTGTGATTGTCTCATCACCTTTGAATTCTTCGGTAATCTAGTACCAAAAAGATGCACTGCTACATGGAATCTACTGTTTTGATTCATATAACAAAGACACAGACACCTGTCACTCTTAGGGTTTAAAGAGTTAAATAAACTTGACTTCATGTCTACTCCATGGGGTCTTCTCTTCTCACCTGTAAAGCCCAGACTACAGTTGCAAGTGTAATTTGCAATCTGATCCACACAAGTTGCATTATTCAGACAAACAGCTGATACACAATCATCAGTGTTGTTTTGGCAATAAATTCCCTCAAAGCCCTGGGCACACTTGCATGAGTACTGCGCTATTCCATCCTCGCATGTGGCCCCATTCACACACATATTACCTAGAAAAGGAAATAAAAACCACATTAAAATTGATAGAAAAGAAAATGTATTCCTAACTACATAAAAAAGCCTCTCAATGTGAAATCAATGGACTAGTCATATTAACAGTCAGATTATGAATATTTCTAATAATCTTCTAGAAATGTTAGCACAGCAAACAAAAAAAAAGAAACAGCAGTTTGGAACCTCAGTAACAAACCAGATTTTCAAGAAAGGGGCCCCCTGATACTGACAATATTACAATCTGTGGCAAAATAACTGTAAGTTGTTAAATATTAATAATAAATACATTATTTTATAATTTATATTAATACTAACTCTTATTGCAAGAATCTAAGCACTTTACAGCATGAAAAAAAAGAAAGAAAGAAACATTTCAAATAAAGATAAAGTGCTTGAAAACTCCGACTCGCAGGAGGCAGATCAATTGGCTATTTGCATAGTGCAGCCTAGGAGTTGAACTAAGGGCAACAGACCAGATTACAAGTCCAGCGCGCTCAGCCACACCACCTCCTTTTAACCCTTTAACTCCAAAGATTGTTTTGTAAATTCTCCCCTCTAGCTGTGACATGTTTCTTTGTAAGTTAGTTACAAGAATTTGGTGTTTGATCAAGATTAAAACTGCTACCTGATAAGTTTAAGGTTTCTCATCACCTCTCTGCTGAATAAAGTATGAATGTTGTAGGGAGAAGTTACATGCTAATCACTTCTGTGAGTTACAGGGTTTAAGAAAAGAAGGGAAAAGAACACCTACCCTGACAATCATCTATGTTGATCTCACAATGCCGTCCTGTATATCCTTCATGACAGTCACAAGTGAAGTTGTTGATGCCATCTTGACAGACTCCATGGTCACACAGCGATGGTGAAATGCAGTCATTGATGTTGGTTTCACAATCTTTGCCCATAAAACCAGCAGGACATGAGCACTGCAAGATTTGAAATGACAAACATTTTGTACTAAGCAAAGGAGTCATTTAGAACTATGAATCCACTCCAGACAGTAACCAAAACATTATCAAAAGAGTGTTTGCAAATGCAAACTACAAACAAGAAAATCATCTAACTAATCTGCCAATTAATTTGAAGCTTCAACATCCCCCCAGTTAAGCCGCAGGCATTTGACCATTGTCTTTGCCCAGAGGTGGGCAACTTGAACCCTGCCTAGGCAGCAAAGGGGGCACTTGAACTGGAACTGTCAAGTCCTTCCAGCATAAGACACATGTTTTGAAGGAGGAGTTTAAAAACGAAGAATCTACTCTAGTGAGCAAATGATTCCATATTGTAGAATGATGCTAACAAGCAAAAGACCCAACAGGAGCACCAAAAGCTAATACATGACTGGGCTAAATTCTATAACATTCCTTGATCACCCAAAGAATTGTTCAAAATTTGCTTCCAACTGATTGATGAAAGTCTCACAATGAAAACAATTGAAATGTTTCAGTAACATTTAAGTCACTGCAAAGATCACATTCATATTCACCATTTTTGATTTCACTAATTAAGTCAACACTTCCAAGTCAATTTTTGTAGGAACTTTTGGAAAATGTTTAGAAAGTCAACAAGGTAATTTTTCTCTTGAATTAAACTCAAAATGAAAAATCAGGGTAACATAAAACCATGCATCATTCCATCCATTTCACTTGCCACCTCAAAAAGGAACAAAACAGCTCTTACATTGTAGTCACGATGCAAATCAGTACAAGTTGCTCCATTTTGGCATGGCATAGTAGAACACTCATCTGTGGCATTACTACAGGTCCTTCCAAGGTATCCTTCTGAACAACTACAGCGGAAGTTATTTACCTCATCATGACAAGTTCCTTTCAAAGAAAAGATAATAACATCGATGAAAAGTCAAATACAAGATAAGCAAGATATTTCACCTCCAGAGAGTCTTGTTATTTTGCATCTTTATGTTTAGGTGGCCGTTAGTCCGACATGGGTTGGGCCATGGGTCGCAAGCAGGTCATGGGTTACAGGTAAGAAGGGGGGGGGGGGGGGAGGGAGATAGGCATTGGTCACAGGTCCTGGGTTGCAGTTGGGGGTTGTGGGTTTTGGATGATGGGTCACAGGTCATAACAAAACTATATTTTAATTCAAAGATGTAGAACAAATACCGTAAGTGAGTAACATTAAAACCTATTTTGTGACACCACCAAAACGACGTGGGATGAGGGCACAGGTCATGGGTCACAAATGGAGGTTTACAAGTCTCAAGTCACTAGTAGGAGTTTAAGGTTGCAAGTCACAGATTAAGGGTCTCAGTGTCCAGTGGCACAGGAGCTGTAGTTAACAGATACAGGAGCTACACTTGAGAGCTCCCTTATGATATTTTTTCTATACTAAAAGAGTGAAAGTAACAATTTGCAACCTTACTCTTTCAGCTTCTAGGACCACAGAATTATCACTGTCTATAAAATTTTCCTATCTTGGATCATGAGAGGTCAGTTTAACTCTTAGGATGTTTATACTTCTCAACTTCTTAGTTCTCATTACCTGTCTCTTTGAAAATTTACTTATACTGTAAGGAGAAATTACTTATTGGTCAAATAAAAGGCAGTTCACCACACCCTACCTCCATTGCTACAGGCAGCGGGTGTACAGTCATCAATGTTTGTCTCACAATTGCTACCATTAAAACCTTGACGACAGACACATCTGTAAGCATTGATCTGATCAATGCAAGTTCCATTGTTTTGACATGGAGATCCTTGGCAGTCATCAATGTTATGTTCACAGTCGCCACCAGTATAACCCGGTGCACAGGAACACTCATAAGAATTAACCATATCCTTTAGTGGGAGAAAATGGTGATCAGAGTAAATGTAAATAAAGTACGTTTCTTGAGATGGAGAGGATATGGAATGGAGAAATAAGGATTTAATATTAATGTTGGAATTAAAATGAATTTCAGGAAAAAAATTATAGCAGTTTGACCCATGCTTTTCTACAATAAGATACAATTCTACCAAATCATATGAAGTGATGTTCTGAGGATGTCCAATTTTTCCCAAAAACTCAGGTAATAAGGATTTGAAAATCACACTCATTTGACAATAGGGGAAAGCTCATTAGCTGGTTTGATCCTTTGACCCCCTAATTTCTCCTTACAATATCACCCCTGGAACAAACATGAAGGTCATGAGAATAAAGAAAATGATCACCGAATAAAGAAGCTCTTGAACCCTTTGACCCTTAAGGTTGACTAGCATCTAATTTCTCCTTACAATATCACCCCTGGATCAAACATGAAGGTGATGAGAATAGAGGAAATGATCACCGAATAAAGAAGCTCTTGAACCCTTTGACCCTTACTAGCATCTAATTTCAAATATCTGAATCAAACATGAAGGTGATGAGAATAGAGGAAATGATCACCAACTAAAAAGGCTCTTGATTCTTAAACAAATTCTCCTTGTCAGCTCCTCAGAAAACGTATAGAGAACAGTATGGAGATTTAGCATACTGATGTTGGGTATAAAGTGTTAACCTTACAGTGTCAAAATAAGAATTATTTCACAATACAATTGCGATGTATTAATTATTGTATCAATAATAAATAATTAAAATTACTTTGCATGTAGCTCCATTTCTGCACTTGTCTTGCTTACATTCATCAATATCTGCAAAAAAAAAGACCAACCAGGAGTGTTTAACCCTTTAACTCCCAGATCAAATTTGTAGTTCTCCTTACTGTCAACCATACAATTCTTATAATGCTAGTTCAGAGAATTTCGTATTGGATCAACTAATTATCCTCAAATTGATATTTTTCTTCATTCTCATCACTTATCTGGTTTATATTGTATTGATATTGAAAGGAGAAATTCTATCTTGGTCAATCATGAGAGTGAAAGGGTTAACTAAACATAGTTACTGAAAACTATATTTGACAGCCTTTTCCATTGCATATAAGTTCACAATCACTTCCTTTTCCTATTATCAAGCAAATTTCATCTAGGATCAATATTTCTCAATCCAAAGAACCTCAGAGCTCTCTGAATCAAAATCAACCCTGTAACAATAAGCATGGCACATTTTCTGTTCACAACATTTATAAAATTTAACTTCAAGATCATATACAATCACTCTGGTTACAAAAGTTTTGTCTCAATATTTGTTGTCTGCTCATCTAATTTCTTTACCTGTCTCACAGTTGACACCTTGAAATCCAGGAGGACAAGAGCATGTGTAATATGTACGGAAGTTTTTACATGTTCCATTGTTTTCACATGGATGACTGGCACAAAGATCAATTTCTGGAAAAAAAAAAAAAAAAAAAAAAAAAAAAAAAAAAAAAAAAAAAAAAAAAAAAAAAATAAAAAAAAAGAAATACATTTTGCCTGTGATCAATTTTGGATGAACAAATAAAAAATTGTCTGGAAATCAAATCTACCATACATTCTAAAAATTCAGATTCTTTGGTGCTACTGTCAAATCAGTTTAAATGTATGGCACTCAAGCACACACTTAATCAACAACCCTTGCGTCCTAAAGTTTTGTGGAAAATGCATCCCTTCAAAGGAGCTATGTATCATGGTATGCCAGCCATTTCAATCAACCTCCACCAAATGGGCACACACTTCTGCAGACATCTCTGGAGTACCAATTTAGGGCTATTTTGTAACTTCTCACTTTGGTCTCCTAAGCTTGGTTGTATCAAGGTTAGTTGTCCCACAAAAAGCTATTATACTGAACACATTACAACCATTGTATGATCCTTGAAGACCAATGGAATCTCATGAAGGACCATGGTGCAAGATGTGTTCAAGTCACAGGTGTCCCCAACCTGATAGCCTCATTGATTGGTTGACTGACTGGCTCATTGATTGTTTAATTGATGTTTCTTCCATCTTAACTTTAGTTGCAGTACTCACCAGTTTGGCACTGGTCACCAGTAAAGCCAGGTTGGCAATCACACCGGAACTTATCAGGGTCAGTGTTGATACAAGTACCACCATTTTTACAAAGGCTTGTATCTCGGCAACGGTTAAGGTCTGACATGTAAAAAGACAAGTAACTGTATCATGATGTACAATACAAAAGACACATGATTTGTGGGATAGGAGATATATTTTGATATTGTGAAATATACAAAAGAAATGTCTTCAAAGTATAAACAGTTATAATAAAAAATTTTAATCATTCCATGGTTGTCAGCCATATTTTAAATATCATATAAATTATAAAAACACACAAACACATCACAGAAGTCACAGGATCAGTTTATCATTGAGTTTCATGCAACTTACTAACTGTAAATCACAGGAAATTGGAAAGACAAGAAGTATTTATGGGATGTTTTTGTGCGTAAAGAAAAAGTCAAATGAGGCTCTTTCTAACTAAAAAAAATAAAAAGGCACATTGAGTCACACAAACTCTTCAAAAAAAAATAATAAACCCAAGTTTCATCAATCATACCTTGTCCACAGTCAGACCCTGTCCAATCTGGACTACAAACACAGTCATTCCCATTTACACAGAAACCATTAGCTGTCAATCAATAAACAGTGAAGGTAAATTAAAGGGTCTGATACCACCCAGAGGGAAAGGAAACAACAGGGGAGGGGGGGTGGTTTCCCCTTCACACTTTTAAAAATGTGTAGTTTACATTATCTCACTATATCCAAAACTTTCACAAAATATACAGTGTAACAGTAACAGTAATAATAGCTCTCCATCTTATTTCAACCAGCACCTTTTACAAAACATTGTAGGAGATAGTCATTGTTTAGATCTAGAGTTATAAGTGTTAAGAAGTTTTTGAACCCAAGAAGGCCATCACATTTATTTGGTGACAAAGATAATCAGCAATAACTATAAACTGTTTCTTGAAAATCCACACACAAGTTAAGATGACAAGTAATCCTTTTCTAAGCAGCCTAAATGCTCAAAACAAAGCTTGGTGCAGACAATGAACAATGCCACAAGATATGTGTAGGGCTTGTAATCCGTGAATATTAAAAAAGCAAGCAAGCACCTGGCATGCACCCTGCATATCTTTAATTGCCATCATCATTTCCATTATCCCCATCATGGTGTCAAGAATTTAATATTAGTGATAAGAATGATCATGACAAGATGCTATGATGCGACTGCACAATAGGTGATAATGAATAATGTGGCATATTACTCAGGGAATAAAAACTGATCACTAAGTTCCATGTCACATCATTTTGCTGTCATTAATGCCATTATGTTGTATTCATTGACATTATCGTGACATCCATCTGGGTCACAGTGTCAATAATAGAGTCAGACAAGTGAGGAATGCATCATTACATCATTAATAAGCATTTTCATAAATGGCAGAGTATGTTCCTTCACTAACCAGTACATCCTGGTTTCTTTACACATGTTGCACAACGAGCACCCTGCCAACCATCTTCACAGCTAAAATGGAGAGAAACAACAGGATAACCTTAGTACAATAATATTACAATTTTTTTATATCATTCTATCTTCACTGACAATTCACTAACTCGTTACAAATAGAACAGAAAAGAATTGTACATGGTTAACTTTAAAAAAATCATACAAAAATGGTACAATATTATAAATATGCCAAGATACGCTTTCTGTCCAAAGGTGTTACTGAGGTGTCCATCTTCCTCCAAAATGCAACCATATTGGTTACCAAGACCTATATAAAAACAATCTAGGCTCTTTTATCACAAAAAGGCTAGTTTGGTCATCTTTTTTGCCAAGCCAAATGTAGTCATACTGTTATAACTGAGAAAAACATTTGTTCTGTGCTACATTTCTTTTCATAGAAATCAGTTCTTTCAATTTTACCTTTTGCATGGGTTGTGAGAGTCTCTGACTTTCAATGCAACAGTTGAAATTCATTGCATAAATAATATTTCAAAAGAGGAGATACAAAATTAAAACATCAAAGGAGATATAAATTCTGCCCTGAAGACACGGCTATGAAGGTGTGATGACTAAGGTCTCACTTAATTACTTACTTGCAAGTATTGGGCTTTGTACAAGAACCATGATTTGGATCACACCCATGGGAACATATCGCTGAGGAGAAGATCAGAGAGTTAAAACTGATTCTAACTTGAATAAAAGTATCAAGCACCATTAACAGGAAAAAATTTACTTGCTCAAAAAGAAAAGGCTTCCAGTACTATATTCCTTGGGGGTGTTACTGGTCATATTTCAGGTTTCTCTTGGTTCTCAAAATTAGTAACCACATTTTGGCAAGTAGCTTTCATCCTTTATTACACCCATTTTGAAATCACTGGTGGTCCCTGTAATCTGATTGGTTCTAATTGATGCGATTTATTCACGAATCGCACCATTTGTTGCTTTAAGTCGCATCTTTTTTCCAGCCAATGAGGTGGCTACACTTCAAACAAAACCACCAATCAGATTTCAAGTTTGTTTTAAGTAACCGATCAAATTGCAGGAAAATTGAAGACAAAGAGTATCATGTAGCAAATTTTGCAACTTTTGTTTCCAAAACTCTTACTTTTTCCCCCCCAAAAAGGGATGAATTAAATTTCAGACCGGCTCAGTACTGCATCAATAAAATATTTGAACTTACCAAGTCCTGTATTTGGGTGATTTCAAAATGGATGTAATAAAGCGGTAATTGAACCTCGTGTCGTACAATTTTAGTCTGAAATCATACTTGTGATTTCAAATTGAACTCGCGCTGCGCGCTCGTTTGATTTTGAAATCACGCGTATGATTTCAGCCTAAATTGCACTCCAATCAGTTCAATTACCATTATTTATTAGTAGAGAAACAACTCTTGCTTAAAGGATTTCAATGCTGAGCACACATGCTGAGCTGTTCTGCCCATGAAATCTTCTGTTTTGCTATGTTCTTGTTGATATCACCGTCTTGGTTTTCCTTAACCCTTTCCACCCTAACATCAGTATGCATATTCTCCATACTGTTCTCTGTACATTTCCTATGTGTTGACAAAGAGAATCTGTTGACAATCAAGTGCTTCTCTTGTTAAGGATCATTTCCTTTAATCTTGCAACCTTAGTGTGTGACTCAGGAGTGATATCGTCTGGAGAAATTAGATGCCAGTCACTCTGACTTAGGGCTCCAAATGTTAAGTCCCTACTTACGTATCAGACAGTTACTTCCTCTCCAGCCTGATAAGCAGACCTTGTTACCAGTTTGGCCATCACACTTGTAGTGGCCGCTGCTATCATCCCGCCCAACACAATATGTATTACAGTCTGTTCCATAATAATTAGCATCACAGTAAATGCGGACCAAAATTCTTGTGCTTGACCTCTTGCCTGTCAGCTGATGATCAGAACATTACACAAATGAAGAAACCAAGAACTCATTACCAAACAAAAAACTGCTGATTTGCCACAAGCCTTCAATTTGAACAACACACCCCTGAAACGTCAGCACCATTGACAATTTTAAATAGGGAAATAGTCAGAACTTGTCCCAAATCAGAAATGACTTCTTTGAAAAGAAAACCATTGCATATCAAATAGGTCTTTCAAGTCAGTACCCCCTAAAAAATACTGCAGGCAACTATCACTGCAGTTTAACTTTTTTCATTTCCAAAACTTCTATTTTTTTGTACTTGCTTCTTCAAGGTTTCCTCTAGGTACTGAAGATAAGATAATTCTCTGGCTGCTGAGCAGAAATCCCTTTGCAGAAATTTACATGACCTGAGTTATCTTTTATCCATAAAGAGGGTAAGTTTCTAGGGAAACAGTAGTGCTGCACCGGTGGAAGGTATTACGAGATAATTTGATTTAATCAATTGAGTTGATAATGTGAATTGGACACAGTAAAGAGATTCTTAAGTTTACCTTTCAAACATTAGTCCTTCAAAAACTATCCACTCTGATGAAAGGCTAAAACTCAAAACATTAGCTTTAAAACTTGATAGAGTGGTCACATTATCAATTCAATTAATGAAACCAAACAAATTATTATTCAGACATGGATAATATTCTTCTGTTACCATTACTTAACACTATTTTACTGCTTCTGCAAATTTCTTAACCCTTTCACTCTCGAGATGTGCATATCCAATTCTCTACACCATATAAAATACACTTTTTATAATTTCAGCTCTGAGAATGTGTTTTTTACCCTTTGCACCCTTACATAGGTATCAACATTCTCCATGCTGTTCTCTATACATCTCCTACAGTGCTGACAAGGAGAATTTGTTCATCTATCAAGAGCTTCTCAGGTTGGTAATCATTTCTTTTATTGCTGTGACAAGTAATAAACTGTCAGTCACTAAAGGGTTATAAAAATGAATAGCACACAGTGTGAAGAATTGATATGTAAATCATGGTGATCATTCCCTTTAATTTTATGACCTAAATGTTTGATTCAGCAGTAAGACCTGCAGGAGAAATTATATTCCAATCACTCTCACAGGTTAAAGGGTTAAGTTAAAGAAGTCATCCTGGCTGATAAATATCCCTCTATACTCACATTACACATACCGTAAATGTCCATGTATAAGCCGCACTTTTTTTCACAAAATTGAAGCCAAAAATCAAGGGTGCAGCTTATCCATGAAAGATAGCCACAACTTCTATGTCGGTGTTTCGAAACCTTGATTTGTAGCAATACAACTCTACTGAAACTTCAAACTGTATTGTTTTTATTTTTTTAAAAATTCTGCGCTTCAAAATCGGGGGTGCGGCTTATCCACGGATGTGGCTTATACATAGACGTTTATGGTATCTCTGCTTTTAACATGCATTGTTAGGAGAAATTCCTTTTTCAGTCACGGCTGAGAGTGAAAGAATTAATAGATCAAAATGGAAATGTTTCTTCTTACTGTAATTGTTTTAGCTACAGAACTTTGTAAATCTTTCTGCGCTGGTGCAGTAGAAATGTCTGATTGAATTACATCAATAAGATCATCTGCAGATCCAATACCAAGAAAATTGCCAGAATCTGAGTCCCACACATCCAGAGCAATAGAAAATGCACCCTGAAGAAATAAACATGCAAAGCAATCATTATTTTAAAAGTTCAAACTAACTGTAGTGAAACCACAGTTGAGTTGTCAGTTAGAGCTGCACTGTTGTGAAGCTTGGGTCAACCTTTGGCTCATTGGGGCAAACTCTCCAAGAGAGGCACATGCAACTACTGTACAATCAACTGAATCTACTTTATTCCTTGAATCAATGTTTTTATATACATAATGGTAGCTAGCTAATTCTTGATTTATAGTACAGAGGATAAATGGTGTTTCTGTTGGGATAAACAACTTCATCACGACATAACCACCATTCCACAGATATGGTTGAATACTCACGCAAATCCTGCGGAACTAGGCATTCCTGTGGAAAGCACGAATTATATCTGACATCCCATGCGACACGCAATAGAATGTTTTCACACTTACTTTAACAACAATGGATCACACAAAGATCACATTTCCAATTATAATTATATAATCAAATGTTATCTAAAATTGCTTGTCACGTTTTGTCACACTTTGCTACATAACCAACTTAAAGTTAAAAATTCATCACCTTCCTCTCAACTTTCCAAAACATATTTTGATTAGCAATGAGTTACTTTTTACACTACATAAATGCAAGTCCTTTGTAGCCATTCTTAGGTTAGATGATGTCTACTTGAGTAATGACACTGACATTTATCATATGGTAATCATCATGATAAAGCCTTATTAACTCATTTGCTTTGTGGAACTCCTTACTTACTTAACCGTGAAGCCAATTTCTACCACGATAGAATCAATCACTTTTCAGATGTCTCATTTTTCAAAAAGTATCACCATCAGCTTACTTAAACTTGCCATAATGCGACACTCACTCTATATTTTTTGAGGTTCGCAGTTTGTGTTGGCAAGATTCCACAATAACTGCAATTCATATAATAATTTCTGACAAAAAGAAAGCATACAAGTCTTACCGGCCATCTTTGATTGAAATGATATATCAAGGGGTTTGTAAGACCATTACCAACAGTGTCACCAAATCCGGGAAAAGAAAAACTGTCATCTCCCATGATGTAAGTCTCCCATCGAACCCACGGTGAGAGAGCAGTGAAGACTGTGTATGGATATTTGGTAACAGTCAGCTTAAAAAAGTTTTCACAATCATTTGGGCACGACCCGAAAAAACTGCAACAGTCACAGCAATCTCCATTGTAATCTTTTGAACGGGGATTATTGTAATCTAGCAACTGAATAGATAAAGTTCCCTTTGCACAAACATTCTGCAATAAAAAGGAGACAAAACAACTGATTAGAACACACCCAAAACAACAAGCTGAAAAGTCTACCTTGGTACAAAGTGTGTTTAAAATTCATACTTGATTAAAAAATCATCTGTTAGTGCTTTTTTCCATTTAATTATGGTGTGGTTCATGATTGTTACATAAATTCTCCTTTTCTGCTCCTTAGTAAATATATAGAGAACAGTATTGAGAATATCCCTGATGGTGTTAGGATGTAAAGGGTTAAGCTACAAAAAAAAAATTGTTGTCTAGACAGTGGTAGAGTATACCATTAACAATCAGAAGTCATAAACCTGATATACTGCACCTTTTACTTTTCTATGATTTTATCACACTGATCTTGAGATCAGTATCCACTAAATATACCTTACCCTAAAAAAAAGCCACCAATTATGGTAATTGAAAAAAGCCCATTGTAAACACATCAGAAAATTAACCCAAATTGATCGTCTGATAGATTGCTCTATGTCACGTAACATTACATATGTATCTGTGTATCTAACTTTCCTAGAACATACACAAACCACTTTGCAGTGGTGTGGTGCGGTAAATAATTTATAAGTATTTCTGTTTCACTGATCTACATTAACCACAAATTAGTTTGAAATGAGGGAATAACATGCAATCAAAATAAATTATAAAAGATCACAATTTGTTGTTTTCACAACTAGTTCATATACTAGGTGATATACTGGTGGTTCCAATATTTAGATTTCTTTGATGCAGGAGAGTAATCCAACTTCTTGCAATTCAATTACAAAGACCATAATGGACTACGCTTGATTTAAAATGTTCTACTGCTGAATGATTATAAACATCACAAACGTTGACATCATAAAACTATTGTTTGCGTAGCAAACTTCTGAAATGGTTTACATGAGGAATAACATCAATAGTCCAAAGGAGACTTGCTGAGAAAAATCATTAGGATCAGTATCATCATAAATATTACTCATTTCGTCGCCTCCATAGGATTAGCTACCTTCAGCAGTCACATAACTGACTTAAAAGACTAAAGCACATTGGGTCAATTTAAGGTTGGCTGCTTCAGACTGTGAGCACTAGACATGGCATGCACATTTGTAACTGGACACCTTGTAATCGGAAACTGTCCTTAGACACAAGGTCCTATTAAAAAATAGTGCACACTGTGAACCTTAGAGAAACAGGAAATTTCTTACAACCATAAAAATAACAATTAACTTCCCTCACAGCCTTTTAGTTCTACATGGCATTTAAATGGTTTGGCTATGCAATCATTCAGATAAATATTTAACTTCCGATGAAAAAAAAGTCACCTTTTCCACTTTTTATCTGCAATCTTTTGCCCCCCAAAAATAAAAAACAAATACGATATTCCAAACAAGTGCTTTATCCTTAGTATGAGGGGTTTGCGTCATACAAAAAAAAACGCATTTCCTTCGAGATGACCTTTAACTGCTCAGACGTGTGTATCAATCACAGCCCCGATCTTTTAATGACAAGTTGCTTTATTGTCCAAATCTTATATTACACTTTCGAGTGAAACAACGTCTTCTGTTTACTTTCACAATGTTGCAACTTTGACAGCACTTCGACTTACGTAAAAGTCACTTGAAAATGCGTATTCGAAGCAAACAATTTTATCGATCACATACTCACGTCGATTCAGAATTGACTACAAACAAAACATGTTAGTGGAAATTTGCTGACGCATCCGAAGAACAAATGCAATATAACATATTTTAGGTACAAAAATATCGAGAGTATTCGAGGTTATTACATTGTTTTATCTGTATCAAAGGTCATACAAATGCTTAATGACTATAAGGCTGCATTATTATTTGTATAATTGAAAGAAAATTGTTTCAACATAACTTGCCTCTAACAACTTCGACAATAGTATACGCCTTCGAGGAAAAATTTTATGAGAATTATACAGGAAACGCAAATAAAACCGACGAAGATGAAATCGAGGAGCAATCGGCTGAGAATTTCGAGTGATGCAGGTTTTTAAGCCATATGAAACTAGCTCTCCAGCAAATTCCTTAACTCGAGGACCATTGATGCAAATTCAAGGACAGTTGATGAGAGAGAAGAGAGCTAATTTAGCAAAATCACTCTCACAAAAATGCAAACTTACCTCATAAAATCCAAGAAATACCGCCAAAACGACAGCCAAAGACGTCCAACAACAAAACCTCATTGGTAAGAAAGAATGCTCCACCAATTACCACTGAATGAATGAACTGCACCGTAACCCGCCTTTTCACCCCACAAACTCCAAAAGCGCCGCAAGATACAAATCCGTATTTATGTTTGCGTAGCTTTCTACCACTTGTTTGGGATTATTTATCACCTGCAAAGATTTGTTAGATGTAGAGAACTTCTAGTACTTAAAGGAACGATCAAGTGCTACGCGAAAGCAAGTCATTCAGGAGAAGAGTTGAACTATACCTCACTAACTTGAGCTTGTATGTCACTGTCGATGCCGCTCAACCAATCATAGGGCAGAATTATGACAATAAAGGCTTTGTTGGCGGTTTGATAGCCAAGAAAAACCAAACATGGGGAAAAAAAAATCTGACTAGGCTTTCATGACCATCCCGCACAACGTTTGGTAAACTGTCTTGATACAGCAAATAAGAAACTATTTAAAACGGGTTCGAGAAGGAAATAAAAACTATGAAGAAACCCACCGAAAAAGGACACAGCATGAAGTCACTGTTATATAATGTTATGAAGGCTTAGTATATATTTAAAAAAAACAGCGATAGTCAGTAACTACGTCCTGGTGGTTTTTGATCAACACGTTCGGCTGGGGTTAAAGGAAATGAAATACGCTTCAATACACATATCTTTCAACTCTTACAGTGCATAAAAATTTTTTACCATGCAAAATCTGAATAAATGATTAACTAAACAATCAGAATTGGGATTAATACATTGCGTCTCCCTGAAACATTACCTACGGGTTTAAAACCCTTTTTTAATTTACCTTATTTCAGTATCAAGTTTACTTAATTTTTCGTGACAACTGGATATTTTGAAACGATGACCGCCGTTGTCCTTCAACACCAGCATTCAAGGCCTCTCCATATGAAAAAAACTGTAAAAAACTAGCTCCTTGCTCATCTTCGTAGTGACACGGAATTTTCCTTGCGAACAGTTCTAAGCTGTACTCTCACCTCGCCGGCCAACAACATTCGTCTCTGTGAAAGATTAAAGGCTGACGTTTCGAGCGTTAGCCCTTCATCCTCGCTCTGACAAAGGGCTAACGCTCGAAACGTCAGCCTTTAAACTATTTACCATGGCCAATTCACGCTATCAACTCAGTTGATAACACTAAATTACCCTGTTACACTCTCCCACCAACGCAGCACCACAGTTTCTTTAGAAACTTACCCCCTTAAATATTCTTCTCTCCCAGTTATCCTTTTCCTATTCTAGCAGTATACAGGAAGTTTGTCTCAGGGACGTAGTTAGTGGCAGAGAGCATCCGAAGTACTAACCGGAAGATCGTAGGTTCGACTCTGAGTGTGCCTGTGTTATGCACTGATTAACATTGTCATTCACTTCAATATCCTCCTAGTTTACCAGGCTCAAATGATGAAGCTACCAATAAGAAATAGCGTGCACGTCTATTGTAAAAAATGACAGACTTTTCTCACCTTTCAATCAAAGTTTAATCCTTTTTCGAACCTACTTAAAATACGTAGTTGCAAACTATCACTTCTACGAAACGGCAGATACTTTCTACCCCTTGTTTCCAAAATAATATTATTATTATATAACTGATATTGACCTCGTTTCCCTCCTAATAAAAACAGATGCAAACGAAACGTTCCCGTGCTGAGATTAAAACTGGGATAAGGGTTTGTCGGCTGACAAACTGAGGAGAGGAACTTCAGTCTTACGTTTTCAAGAGGCTATCATACTTTCGTTCATCATACATAATTCCAGTAAGTTGGTGGTTTTGGTGTTTTTTTTTTTTTTTTTCAGGTGACTGTCATTTCATGGGCGGTGGGATTGAGGTAGGTATGAGAGCACATAACCTACTTGACCACAGTTGAAATGTCTAACAGGATTAAATCATTTCTTAGGTTAACTTGTTTTGCCAAAACGTGCTCGATTTTTACCACGACGGTAAAAATAGCCTTCCGAAATAGACAGTTTCACTGATGAGGTCAACGATTTTCTTTTTCTCTTATTTTCCGGAAACAGAGTCAGGAGGAAATATCAAACGTGAGTGTGGTTATTTAGCAGCACGAGTCATTTACTTAAAACAAAGAACGATTTCCTCTCAGCTGTAAAAATTGAAAAAGAGATATCTCTTCCATGATGTATCTCGTTTATCATTAGCCTGATTAAATTATTATCACCAACAATAAGTAACTAGAGCAAAAAGAATCTTTTTTTCGGTCTCCTTGTCATTTCAGTCGCATATGATAGATAAGGGCATGTGCGAATGTTTAGGTAAGGGCCAATCTCTCTTTTCCTTTTTTTTTTATCTCTCAGACATAGCCGCCATATAGATAGAAACCCTGATCAAATTCCTTTTAAAAACATAACCTGAGACTTTTGAACTATGGACTTTTCTTTTTAAACCGACTCGATCAGATTGTTTACCTGAGTTATTTGGCTTTTTTCCATAGATAAACCTTGCCGATCACGAACGTTGCGGAATTACTGTTTACAGAGTAAGCGAGAAAAGATGGCGGTTATGAAGCCTGATTTGTAAGTTTTTCTTCCTATGAAATGTAGCTTGACTAAAGTTTCTTTCCGAGTACCACCCATGGAGTTACGTGACACAATTTCCAACTCGAACAAGAAGGAGGGTATGAAGTTTCGATCGTATACGCGTTTTGTAGTTTTGAAACATCATTTGAGCCCACAAAAGTTTCGCTTTGGATCAGTTTTTTATTTCAACGGCGGAAGCCAATTGAAATTTTGCGTATTTGGAGACTCAAATACGAAGGACTGCGTTTTGTAGAGATCAATGAGGCTTTATTCGAAATAGTCATCAAAGTTTAGAGTATTGTTAAGAGAGACGCGTTTCAAAAGACTAACAAGAGCTTCCCGCAGGCTCGTGATCAAAAACAAGGAACAGACGTGAAAAGCCATCTTTTACAAAAATAGCGAAGGCAGAGAAGAAAGATGATTGAGGGCAGACACTTCAAGTGGTTTTATTCAGTAAAGATTTGTTTATATACTTGGATTCCATTGCAGTTTTACAATGGTGTCTGATTTAGCTTCTATCAAAATCAATGAGCCACCATGTTTATCCACAAACTAAGATCTGTTTAAAACAGCTTGAGACACCTTGCAACAGCAGACTCTTCTAGAAAGGATCCTGTGTACTTTCGCCTAACCCCACACCTCCTAAGATCAAATAAGTATTTCTTCTTCCTAACTACCATATATCCCCTTGTATTTCGATAGGGGAATTCAGTGCTATGCAAGACAACACACTCAAGCTGATCAAGAGAACAGACAACTGAGCTTGAAGCATGTTAACCTAATCGAATTTGGAAGTTACTTGATGATCGTTGCACCCTCTAGGTGTGAAAACAGTTTTAAAGATTGGTTTCACTGTAATCTTTTCCGGTTTATAATCTATCACTGGTTTCACTGTAATCTATTCCCATATACATAAACGGTGTACATAAACACCCTCGAGTCGAAAGCGTCTCCGATTTTCTTTCAGGAGCTCAACTAGGTAGTCTTTCTTAACCTCTGGACTTTCCAAATGAGGATTCAAAGAGAGGTCGAAGTTCATCCGTTAATGAAACTATGATTTATATCATATTGCATTTACTTTCTTCTACGAGGACGAAGAACCCACTAAAATATGTGTCACTTCTTACGCGAGGTTTAGTTGCTTAGTTTGTACTAGCGCCAAACTTGTATCTTGAAAACACGCCGGAGTTTGTATCCCGTTCAAGCCTCGGTATATTCAGACCTTTTTTTTATTCAATTGTTTATTTACAGCTCAACTCTTAATTTGTCTGCACTTGAACTTCATCTGCAAGTGAGCACATGACTTATTTCATTAAAACCGCGATAAGACGGCGGAAATTAAACCGACGGAATTAGTAGTGAGATTAGCTGTAATAATGTGGACTTTGAGCATCAAGCTGTGTTTTGACGATATGAGGTTGTATGCTGAAGAGCAATATGAGTTCACTGCGTCGTTAGGACGGCAGACGTCGGAGGAACAATGAAAGATTCTAAAATTTTTGTATAGAGAAGAGAGATTTCCACCTTCTGCGTCACTTTAGTTCACCGATAAGACGTTTTACAAGGGATTACAGCCGATCGTGAGTGCAAAGGGATATCACTGCCATCTAGAACTTTCGTCCGTGCTCATAGGCTAGTCCCTCTTCTCAAAAGGCTTACGTCAATCAAATACTCAATTTCATTTTGATAAACGACCAAAATAATTTTTATCTTTTAGACATTTCCATTTAAAGTAAAGTATTAATCTTATAATGTTTCAAAGGTATAAAGTTCGCTCTCCTGGGTCTATGTTTAAAGAAGTTTATCAGATTAGGAAGATTTTATATCCGTCATAGCTGATAGAGATAATCTAACGCCAACAAAGTTACAGCGTGCAGAATTGCATGCTCATGTAAAGGTTTTAGATTTAGTCTACGAAAACCCTCATTTTGAAGTTACTCTTCTTCATACACAGATATGTTCGCGGTCAAACCTCAATTATGGCGACTTTGAGAAAAACATAGGCATGCAATGCATGCAAGATTTTTTTTGGAGGGGGGGGTGGGTGGTTTACTTGAAACATTGTAAATGATGTCTACATTCTTATAAAAGGAAAGAAGAGTACTAATGCGGAAAAGAACGAAAATGTCGAATTAACCCACTGCAGACTGCAGAGTGGGTAAAAAATGCAGACTGAGAATCTTTAAATTTTTTTTCGTCTGGTATGTGATAACGTCATCTTCTAACTCACCGAGCGTCACGCAATCGCTTTTCCGCGATCAGCTTTCACGATTATTTGCACTATTTAGGAATATTCCTGGCCCATTTCTTGATGAAAATCGATCGTAATATAATTTCAAGCCTTCATATAGTCTTCTCACTTTGCACGCGAGTGTGATGTCTGTACAGATTTCACCAACATAATAAAAATAGATGAAAATGTAGATGTAAACGAGAATACCATAAGGTATATAACATGCGCAACATTTGAGAAACAATTGACAGCTTTCCACGTGGTCCGTATTATCATCTTTTTAAGCGGTATGTGTTTATTTTGTTGACAAAATTTCGGACCGAGACCAAAATTGTTCCTTCGACTTGATATATTTTCGTCGTTAGTAGATCACTAATCATTCATTCCAGATAACAAAATCATATAAACATGCCAACGATGGTATCTGAATTCGTCCTTAGCCAAACACAAACGACTCCACAAGATCACTTTCTCCATGCATCGAAAACATACAAAAAATCGTCCATAGTTAATTTCAATCAGAAATTCATCTGGAGATAGCACCGAGCAATCCAATCCAGAAAGATATGATCGGCACACTCAACAAATCATGAATCTTGTAAAGGCATTTATTTCTCCATTGTCGTCCTCTCGTGACAAATATATTGCGTATTTTGTTATTATCATCATTATTTAAGCAAAAATCAGGTCTTTCTTCAATAGAGTGCAGACAGATCTGACGTAGTTTGTGCCCGGGGAGAGAAAAGCCAAAATAATTATATCGTACCTCAAGAGAAGTCAATTTCCGGCTGATAAGTTCACATATTCTCAAAACCTGATTACTGAATAATGTATCGCTATTGCAACGAGAAGTTACATGTACATCACTTGAGAGATTTGAAAGTTTAATTGATATTGAGCTCTAACAACTGAAACCCTTTAACTCTCTTGCTGTGAAGAGGACGCAATAAAAAGCAAGCCGCTGATGTGGTTTGAATTTTTAATTTTATTAAAGTAATTTTACATACTGAGCTAGGAATAAATGTTGATGAAATTCAAAAGAACTAATGACTTTTTAAAATGATTAAAAAATTTGGCAAGCTGTAAAGCTTGCAGAAGATAGAAATTTTTACACTCCACAACCCAGCAGTTAACAGTCTTTGACGCCCAGCTCACGGCAAATTTAAATCTAAATTTTTTCTTGTTCCGTTCATCAGGCAGTTAAAAAAGTGATGGCAAAGATATGTAAACACATGGAACAACCCACGAAAATGGCGAAAAACAGGGAATATATCATTAATCCTTTCACTCCCAGATCAAATATGTAATTCTCCTTACAGTCGATCATACAATTCTTATAATGTTAGTACAGAGAATTTAGTATTGGATCAACTATCCCAAAATTGACATTTTTCTTTATTCTCGTCACTTATCTGGTTGATATTGTATTGATATTGTAGGGAGAAATTCTGTCTTGGTCACTCAGGAGTTAAAGGGTCAAGGCTACCACGAGTCCTTTAATTCTACGCAATCTCACTATTCACTGGAAAACACTCGCAAAATATCTCAAGATAATGAAAATGGCGGGTGAGTGTCCGTTTCACTTTAAGTGCCTTTCAGATCAGATCAAATTCAGGACGAAACGCATCTCTCAACAAAGTCAATGTATCTGCGCGTTTCTGCATTAATCCTTTACAACTGGCGGTTATCATTTTGACTCATCCACATTTTCAAGTTTCAGTTTCATCGATAAAGATTTCAATCCTATGGCCTGATTGTCAATTCTATTTTCGTGTTACCTTATAATTTTTGGAGAGCAAGTTCTATGAATCTGAATTTTTAACGAAACACTATCCTCTGGATGAAAATCGTGTTCTCTTTTTAAGTCCCTGTCTGTTTCTTTATAAATTGATGTTAAAAAGTGAAGGTAAAACTGAATCATTCCAGCAGAGCCTTAGATTAATCACAAATAATACGAAATAGTTAAAAAAACTTAACTCTTTCTTTGGACTTAAGTCTACTCATAACCATGAATCAGGCCTGGTTCTTTAGCGTTTCGTACTGTTTTGCTTACCGTACGGAACCATGCAGAGTCTTGTGACCAAAACGCACGAGAGAAGCGTTCCTTCGGTGACGTCAGAGTTTACTAAGGACCAGGTTTGACCGTGCTGGCGAGGACACCTGGGGACTAGGGATGAGTCAATTCTGTACATTTTAAAATCTTTCTTCTAGCGAAAAACAATTCAACCTTTGGATCAGATACAAAGTACTTTACCTAAAATTACACGGGTATTAAGGATTATCCACAGTAACAATACTTTAACAAATAAAAAGTTACGGTGGCAAACTAATTTATAGTAATGAAACTGGTTCGCGTGAAGATAGTATTTCTTTGAAATTATGCACAATAAATAACTCAAAATTGATTCGATGCATCAACAAGCAAAAATAAAAAAGTACAAGTCGATCCTCGTCGCCCAATTTAACAAGCCTGTTATTTTCTTCGAAGCGTTCGTCGAGTAAAACACTTTTAAAGATGATCTGTTTAAGTCCACAAGTCATTCACGAAAAAATAATCTTGTCAGCCGTTACTTTCATAATGACTCTACTGATACAAAGAAATGTTTTACGTCCTTTAATGAGTTTCTGAGCTTCTTAACCAATCAAAATAACTGATAATTGTACGTCAAATTGGAAAGACTTCGCCGCCTTTTCAACGAAATGAAACGTGTGTTTTGATCGGACATGAAACGAAAACCAAGTACAGGTTCAGAAAACGTTGGCGGGCTTAGGAATACTTCGAGTTCAACTTTCTATTATCGACTTCCTAACGAAGATCGACTTGGACAAGCACAAGCGCTTTGACGTTACAGATTTGACCGTTCATTAATAACTGTAAAGAATGTTGCGATAAAAATCTACTTTACTTTGCACAAATTGACTGGATAATGCAAAGCTCGAATGAAAAATAAAAATCCTACGTAAATCTAACCATTACGTTACGCTATAACTTCGCAATTAAAAACAAAATCAAATGTTATTTACCATGATTGAAGTCTAACTTCAGCTTTTTACGTATAGAACAAATATGGAATTTTCTGTGTTGAACGATACATTACATGTGGTTCCCCTAACGCACGCCCGCCACGCCTAGAGTACTAAGAGGTGTTGCGTGACAAGAAAAAGCGCTGTAACTCGCTGAAACCACTTCGCAGTAAATGGCTGCTACACAGCTACAGATCACGCAACTTTACCACTTCAGCGCGCACAGATCACGGCTATTTAAAATCTAAAAAATACACTTGTTGGATCACGTTCTTAAAAGATAAAAATTTTTTCATTTCGCGATAGAATTTCAAATTTTCTTCATTTCATGCTGTTTTTATCTATGTACAATGTAAAGTTATGCAGCTGTTACACAAGTCTGTCGCTCACGAACAGTGGGTTGACGAACGAGAAGTCCTTAAATTCCTCCTGGTTTATGTTGGCGGTGACGTTCTTGTCAGTAGGAGTCAATTTTGGGTCTTCTCTTGTGAAATCCGTGTCGAAGTTCCGTACGTCTGTTCTCGAACGCTGCAAAGGGGAGAAAAAAAACACGTTAAACTGGCTTCTGTGTTACGATTAGAAGTTTGACATAGCAGATGGAGTCTAAAACACGTGCTGTATAACAGCTAACATGCCAACAGACTCTAGCAAAAATTTGTCAAAAATTTCACAGTTTAGCTCGTTCCCAAGATTTAGGTTCGTTGCTAGGTAGCTTACAAGTAGGCCATCATTATGAGCGCTGCAGGATGCGCGTCCTCCCCCTGCGGGAAGATTTAAGAAGAGTCGGACAAAGGTTTGCCAGGATCTGCCTAGACCCTTGCACCCGGGCGGAGTATCTAAACGAAAACAAAACAAAACAAAAGAAGGAGGCACCTTCTTTCTTACTTCAGGCCTTCCTTTCGCACTAATTGCCTTTGGATTCAGTTCCGGGTGGGGATCAATTTGTCATTTACCATTCACAGGTCAAAGACAAAGTACATCACAAACTTTTTACAATCAGACGACTCGTGCTTGGCGCACACAGCAAAACAGCGTCGAACGGCGCTTAAGAAGAGGTATGAAGAGGGAGTGAAGGGCTGGGTTTAGCTGGCTCTCGGAGACAAACATGCCGCTACAGGATTTTTGAACCTGCCCGACCCACAAAAACTGGGTCGAGTTCATGCTTGCTACTGAGCAGAAGGAAAAACTATCTGTTATTCTAAGGTTTGACTTATCTTTCCGAGGTAATCTTTCCAATGTTAAGTTCCTACGAAAGACGTTATTCTCCCTAGCCAAGCGATGACAAATTGAAAAGACAGCTGACTGAAAAAGAGAGATCGCCCGCTTCGCATTACTTTTATGGAATATTCGCTGGGAAGTCTCGCTAACTTACGTGCGCTGGACGTAATTTTTCCCAGTTCGCGTCCAAATGTACCTGGATTCCGCAGGGCTAGTCCCAGTACCTCCACTGAGACTTGTACCGTGTCACTTATCGATTAAGCCTTGACCTTCGCGCGTACGTAATAACCAATGAAAATGACTCAACCGGATATGAAACGAAAGCGAAACGATTGGTTTATGACGCAACAAACGCTCCAATTAACGTCCACAAAATACTCTTCAAATCTCTTGACGGAAGTTTCTAAGCTTAAGATGAGCGGCTAAATTTACACCGCTAAAAATTAAGAAGAAATTCAAAATGAAAAAAACAGCAACCAGGCGATTTAGCACTTTGGATGGAAATCCACCAAGCCAGCAAGATCCTGAAGGTATTCCATCGCACAGATGCTTGATTCTAAACCAAAGCTTCGAAGCGCTAAAATCGGCACGTTCCTCTACAGAAACCATAAGGGAATTTCAGAAAGAGATGGAGAAAGCGGTCCACGATGAGGGCGAGAAAAACGAGCAGTACAAAAAGTTTGCTTCGGAATACGCGACCTTCTCCGAAGAGAACGACATCAGCGCTCACGGAATGAACTCGCTTATGAGTATCCCGAAAGGGAATAAGCATGAACAAAAAACTGAGCTTGGCCAAGAGAGTGGGCAAAGGGAAGATTACAAAGTTGCCGAAGACGAGACATGAAAAATCTGTCACTCCACTAATTTGTAAGTAGACCGGTTTGTCACAATGGCACTTTCTTCTTTCGAGTTCTAAAGGACTTTTTCATAGTGTGTGAGCGAATATGGACACACGGTTTCTTGCTCTACAGAGGACGATGCTTCAGCAAACCAGCCACAATATAGTAGCAAATAATCTTTTCTTTTCGAAGTTGAATTAGGAAAAAAAACGTTTCCTGTATGGAACAAGTTCAAAGAATTCGCACGCATGTCGATAACTCAGCCCGAGACAAAAGCGCGAAAAAATGTCCAACGTATGGCTTGAATAATGCATGTACATACTATAACTTTGCGTATTTTGTGGATTTGTAAGCATTTACCGTAACTAGTTAAGGCGTAAGAAAACATCACTACCGGGCAATGAGAACTCCGAGTAAAAATACGCCAACTGCCTGGAGCGCGGGAAAACGAGAGTGGCCGAGTCGCAGTTGGTTAAGGTTTTGCCTCTGATTGGTTAAGAAGGAAGCGCGAGTCTTCTGAACCAATCACAGAGTGAAGTAAAGATGAACCAAAGTAAAGCCGGAATACTCTCCACATTCAATATAAAACTGCTACATCAAGGAAATCTTGGTCATCTAAATAATACAAATTCGTCCCGAAAACTTTCACATTTGTGAGTTTCATTGTTTAAAAAACTTCCACTTTCAGCAGTTTTTTTGGACCTTATCCCCAAAACTACACCACAAAGGAAAAGTACGTAAATCATTGGACAATCGCCTCTTATACTTACTATATCCGGTTTAAATGGAGGTTCTATTTGCCTCGCTTCTAATCTGATCCAATCGACATCCCTAAAGAACGGATGATCAAGAATACTTTGCTCTCCACTCGCCGTGCAGCCAAGCCTTTTCAAACAATTTTTCGTCATAAACTGCAAAAAACACAAAGCAGAGTTAGACTTTGGGTCCTAGACTATCTCTTTAGCTTAGCGCCTCAGCTGTACCAGGCCAAGAGAGCATGCGTGAAACTGCGCTTGAACGTTTGAACCAAAAAAGAGATTGAGAAAAGGTAAAAGTCTTCACCCTTTCACGCGTCGGTGGATGCCACTATTAATTATGTTTAATCGTTTATCGTCTCTTGTAGTATTACGGAAAGAACTGAAAAGATTTTATCTTTTGACCTACATAATTTCCTGATTTAAACGGTAAAATGCTCTCTTCAAAAAAATTCCTCTGAGTTTCACAAAGCGCCGATCACACTTATTAAGATATTTCTGCAGGGAAAACTTTTGTTTTCAATCGCGCGCAATCCTGAAATGATTGTGAAATGTTTATCATCTTCTGCTGTCTTCTGTAGTGTCGCGGCAAGAACTGAAAACATAATGCGCTGGTGCCTATAAGCCAAACATCACAAAAGGAGAGAACTCAACTGTGTATCGAGTGCGAATGTCAACTACATGGACACTCCGAAACAAACAATAAGTCACACCGTGAAACATCGGGTCAGAACTGGGTCGAGATCAGAATTCTGTTCTTACTCTTCCTCACTCGCTCATCTCGACGACATTTGTGGCTTCGCCTCCGAGGAGAGGCAGTAGCCACAAAAATTAAAAATTTCACCAGCAATATAAGGGCTCGTTAGCATTTTTGCCACCCAGAAAGTTGACCGTTCATGATGGCGATTATTTCAAAGAGTTTCAATAACAAGAAGATACAAATTTCACATGTTTCAAACAGTGAGACGCTTCTTCAATTCTCGAAATGATGTATCCCTTAACTCGACTACTGTCACCCGAAACTACGTATGCTAATGAAGAAAAATGTTAATGATCAGTGGCGGATCCAGACCTTGAGCTAAGGGGAAGGAGGAAGGGGGGGAGGGCGGTTTTTGGTCGCTTGCCCTGTCGGCTTTTCTTCCTTCTGCGATTCTCTCTTTTTTTACCCAAAATAAGAGGGGGGTGGTGGCGTGCCCCTCCGGATCCCTCCCCTAGATCCACCTCTCACAATGACGGCAGCAAAAATATATTGTCATACATGAGGTGCACATATTGCAGAATTCTTACCCCTTTCAGTATTGAGACAGCTTCTCTGGAGAGCCATACTGGGTAGAGCACATCATCGTTTAAAATGGACTCAAACAAGTCGTCTTCGTTGTCGGCCTCAAATGGTGGCTGAGAAACAAAGATAACACGTTGAAAACTAAGCAATTACTGCTTCTCTTCCCAAACCCATTACATACTTCGGTTACAATATTGAAAGTACAAGTTGGTGTTTCCAGTCCAACAGTCTTTGCAAGCAGATGAGCAAATTAAAACTCGATGATAAAGGCTTAAGAGAAATCAGTAACGTTGCGATTAGCCGTGACAGGCTACAACTCGCCTAACGTGACAATTGGGGCCAATTACGAGTTAAAGCGGTAAGAGTGACTAGCATCTAATTTCTTCTTAAAATATCACCCCTGAATCACACATTAAGGTCATGAGAATAAAGGAAATGATCAGCAGCTAAAGAAGTTGTTGATTGTTACACAAATTCTCCTTATAAGCACCTTTGAGAATGTAAGGAGAACAGAAAGGAGAATAACTTTACTGATAAAAGGGTGTAAAGGGTGAAGCAAAACCTTTACGATCCCAGTTTACTTCGACCTGCAGATGACCTGCTAATTAAAGTTGAGCGAAGAGGACGCTGTGCGAGACGAGAGGATCCCGAACAGATTTTAATGATTGTTAAATCTGTCGAGTTCTACTTAAATCAACAAACAAACAAATAAACACTATATTCCTATCACAACTTATAATAGTCGAGATTTCTCGGGTTCCGATACTCAGAGTTTCCAAAGTTTTCTTTTTTGGTAAATTTCCTAACTAAATTAAAAGTAAAACCTGTTTTCTCTTACCTGTCCTGCCATCATCTCGTACATAAGGACTCCTAAGGCCCACCAATCAACAGAGAATCCGTAAGGTTTTTCCTGAAGAATCTGAGACAAATAGGAATAGAAATTCACTGATGTGAACCAGCCAGGATTCCTACCACAAAATCATCCTTTATACTGAAAAAGTACCTAACACAAGACCAATTTACGAAGTGAATCCGAAAAGCGAAGGAGAAAATAAAAATACTTAATATCTAGCAGAAAGGGTTACGAAAGGTTGCTGTTAATAAAAGCGGCTGACATTACAAGTCACATACGTCCCAACAACAGAAGGTCTATTCACTCTCCAGTGCAAAAATAGCTAGAAATGGGGCGGATTTACTTGTTACAATAAGAACGCATTCACAATTGGGACTAAGAACGCAGGTTACGGAACACCCCAAAAGAATGATCTTAATTTCCCGCCAAAACTTAACAAACAAAGAAAATCTATCTAGGGAATTTAAGGTTACTTGTTATGACGAGGGATAGCGCTCGAAACGTCAGCTTAGAAACTCTTCACGGTGGCCAATTTACATTAGCAACTCAATCAAAGAACTAAATTATATAACGTTAACAATAGTCGAGCGTGATAAAAAATTGCTGTAAGGAAAGGCAGTCAAGTTTGCGACCAGAAGCCATAATCGACTGATAGGCGTCTTTAGGCTCAAAGTCGATCGAAGATTTTCGTAAAACGTACGTTTTTGTTTTTTATTGAGAAGAGATTGTACTAGTCATGGGTAAAATACACTTTTTATGGGGTAACGCGCATCATTATAAAGCTAACTTCGGGAAAGTCCCCATCCCCGATAGCAACTTCTACTAAGAAGAACGACTCCAAAACAGTCTCACCTCTGGAGCAATGTAATCCGGCGTTCCACAGAATGTGTTTGTAAATTCACCCGGCTTCATTCGTTCCTTACACATTCCAAAATCAGCCAACTTGATGTGACCATCTCTGTCTAGTAGTACGTTATCCAATTTTAAATCCCTGTTGGAAATAAATCCAGTTGTTAAGAGATGGTTTAACTCTTTACACCCTAAGATCAGAATGCAAATTCTCCATACTGTTCTCTATACATTTCCTAAGGTGCTGACAAGGAGAATTTGTCTAACAATCAAAAGCTTCTTCAGTTGGTGATCACTTTCTTTATTCTCGTGACCTTCATATGTGATTCAGGGGTGATATGGTGACGAGAGATTAAATGAAGCAAATGAGCCTCATAAATACATATCCAAATTCTTGATTATGGAAGCACTCGTTTGGCAAAGCTGTCTTCGTAGAATCGCTTAGTGCTCGAAGGCTCTGATCTCAGACGCCTGGGGTGTTCAGTTCTTCAGAGCTTTCAAAGAGGGTTTAGCTGTACAAGTCGCCAAAGGACAACATTTAGTCGCCTTTTGCGCCCGGAATTGCTAGAGCACAGTATTCTGAAATTCCTTCTATAAGAGAAGAAAAGAAATGGCTACTCATAACAAATGAAATGTTACCTACCTATATATAACTCCATTCTTATGAAGGAACTGAAGCGCCAGTACAACCTCTGAAGCGTAAAATCTACATATGCAATAAAAATTCACTTAAGAATGTGCCTGTCAGAAAAATAAAAGACTTTAGACAGAAAATCATAGAATTAACCATGGCCGGCGGGTACCTAGATCTCTTCTCGTTGAATTTTCTAGCCTTTTGAATTTGGAACATCAAATCACCACCATTCACATACTCCATCACAAGAAACAACCGATCCTGAAACAGAAAAATAGAACCAAAATCAACGAAACACTTAACTCCCACAATGCTTCTCTCCACCTAGGAGTAAAATAAGGAAGCCTGATGAAAAGCTGGAGGGGAGGGGGGGGGGGTAACCTTTCGATGGTCTTGCATCCCACCCAGGGAGGAGTAGCAACACTCCTAGTCGCGTCATGCCGTGGGGACCGAGATAAATTCCGGCCGGGTGAGTTAATTGGCTCGAATATATGCTTAACCTTTTTTTTTTTTTTTTTACCTATCAATTACCAGGTAAAAACTCTAAAGAGAGTTATTCATTTAGTTATTTTTATCTTGCAACTCTTATCGAGTTTTCCATGGTATTCCAGGATTTCCTCGAACGCTCAAAACCCTGGGCAACCCAGCCTGCACAGAGACTCGGTTGGTTTTGCAAAAATAAAAAAAAGTTATTTACCGCTGTTTGGAAACTGGAATGAAGGGCTGTGAGGTATGGGTGACCTGCAGATAGCGCTAAAACTCGTCTTTCAATCATTGTACATTCGACATCATCATCTTGCAGAACTGTTTCCTTCTTCAAGATCTTAATGGCATAAATTTCATCCGTGCCCTTTTTTTCAGCCAACAAAACCTGGGAGACAAGAAAAAAAGTACATATCCATATAATGAGAGATAGCAGTTAAATTCAATTCAAATATAAAGAGAATATTACATGGCCGCGCGGAGATATGAAATTTCTCTTCGGGTTGAAAAATAGTTCCACGAGTGAGCGAAGCTGTCAAAGACGCTGCATCGAAAGGGCGATTTTTATATCAAACCACAGCAACAGCGACCTTTTCATGTTTAAAGATAACACGTTATCTTCACATTTGAAGATATAATGTCTTCGCGCAAAATTTCACTTGAAAATTAAAAATACAAGATATTGTCTATTCTCCTGGAAAAAGAATCCAAAATTTACGAGAAATCGAACTTAATGAAATTTTCTTCAAAGAGTTAAAGTCTTATCGCTTTTTATGAGGTAATGCACTCTATAAAGAGTGCCATTAGCCGGTATGCCATTGATCGGTATCCCTCCCTCCCAAGATGCGACCTCGTAGTTCAGTTGGTGGTCGCGCCCAACTATTATCTGGGAGGCCTAGGTTCGAATCCCGTCAAAGCCTTGAGTTTGTCAGGCGTCTTTTCTGGAATTGCTTAAATTGCAGATCACCTACGAGAATCTTAACCCTGATTTATGACTGGAACAAGAGGAGTTAGTCCTGACCTTGCCAAAGCTTCCCTTCCCAAGAACTTTAATAAAATTGAAGTCCGATAGGCCAATTTTCTTCTGTCGTCTCCTGGCTCCGGGGGAAGCTTCCAGGTCGTCAGGTTTTATAGAGAGTGAGCCAAAAGATCCAATGTCGCTGTCGTTCTCCTGAGCATCCATGAGTGCCATTTGTGATGAAGAGCGATCGTAAGGTATCATCTTGTCCGATCCATTATATTGGATTGATGGCTGTTGGATAAAGGAGAACTGAGAAATTTATTAATCACCCAAGAGAGCAGGAGAGCCTGTAGAGCAGCAGCTTTAAAGGTAAAGGGGACGTTGTGGGCAACCAGCCCCAAGCTAGAATATCGCCTGTGGCAAATCCGCGCAAGCCCACCATAAGTTGCCATCCAGGCACTCATCAACAACGATTGGATCAGTGGAAGGTGGGGGAAGGCTTTGAAAAGCTTCTGCACTGATCTGGTGAGGAGAGGCCGCCACCAAACATTTTAAGAACTCGCAGATGCCAGATGTAACAAAGTTGCAAAAAATTCTCCTAATGAGTTTGCCTTTGTGACGGTGACAGGTGATGTGAAGAGCGAAATAAGCTTGTTGTAGTTAAATTTCTCATTACTCATTCAACTTAAAAAAAAATCTTATTTTCAAACCTTTTTTACTCTCATTGATTCTGAGAGCTTGTTTACAGTGAGTCCTAAATCCCTCAGACAGCTTGCCATCTTCTTGGGATCCACTCCACAATTATTTGCAACGCGCATGTGACATCTCTTGTGAACATTTAGTTTACAAGCTGGGAAAGGAACGGATCACAACAAATGAGTTGCAAAAAATATGAAATCACGATTCTTTAAATGGCCGGATATGCTGGGAGATCTGAGATTAAGAGGAAAACTAAGGAACACACCGCCAGCGTTTTTTTAAGACAATAAAATAGACCAGCAGCACTCCATGCTGCAACCGTTTTGGACACCACAAGGAGTGATAACATAAATTGGCAAACAAATTTGCTGTGAAAGTTGCCAATTTGGTGCCCTGCTCTTGGTGGTCATGCTGCAACTTAGTTAGCCATTTGCATAAAATTTTACATAAGATAGTGCAAAATGTCCTCCAAAGTGTTTTTTCTCTCCTAGCAACCATAGGTTTGTTTCTGGCCACCATTTCATGAGTTTAGGATGTCATCTGGCAGCTTAACAAAAAAAAATTGATAATAGAACCATGAGTATTTCTTCTCATTACTAGATGCTTTACACACCTTCACACTGCATTCCTTGTCTCACAATACCATACAATAGAGAACCACAATGATCACAGAATGTCGGTTTTCTGTAATTGTGAACTTTAAACCTATGCGGGATATTAACGTTGAACCGACGAAAAATCGAACTTTGCCGCCCAAGTCCACTCTAACAGGAAAAAAAAAAACCATTATAATAATTGTAAACTAAAATTCCCCTCTATTTAACATAATACTTCATTATCAACGGTCAGTAGTGAAGCAAAAGATCTTCTGCTGGGACATTTTAAGGCGGTAGGGCCCGAAAAACACCTCATCAGTCTTCAAATTCTCTAGAAACTCTTCATCCCTTCAACTCCAATTCACCAATTTCTTATAGTCTCCTTTTAGCTGCTAGACATTTGCTAGTTCAACATTTAAGAGAATTTGGTGTTACATCAAGATAAAGCCTTTTGCTGACAAGTTTGATTATTCTCGTCAGCTCTGTTGGATATTTCAAATTTTATGGAGAATTTACTTGCAAATCACTTCTAAGTGTTGTGGGGCTGACTCCCATAAGTGATCAGTACACAGTTTCTCCCACAAATTCTGAAACACTGCCAACCAAACTAGTAATGATGATCACCTAAAGAACACAGTCTATAATAATCACAACTTCCTGGGGGCAGCTAATAAAGAAATTTTACATTCTTGATGGCCAGTTCCTTTGCAAAGATCTATCCTGCAAATAAGTACTTGTTGCATCTTTCAGAAAAAAAACTGGACTACTTCTCATCTTTAAAAGTAAATTTCTATGTTCCATACTCCTCCTAGGTCTTGTAAATTAGTTTGCATATTTCCATGCTTTTTCAATAATTAATCTAGCTTTCATCTAGGTAAAAGCTAATTGTATGTTTTTCTTTCATAACTTTCATTTTGTGACAAGTAAGTGCCATTAGCCAATATAAACCATTTTTTAATAACAAAAGATTGGACAAATGATTAAAACCAGCCGATGACCTTGGACTTAACGCACCTAATGAGCAATAAAAATGTCTAGCCAAAGTTTTTATGATATTTATACGTCATGCTATTTTATATGATATTTGCCAGTGAAAAACGCACTGCATATGACAGTGGCAGAATACAATCCCAGACGGCACAATACAATCAAAGTGTAGGTCATTTTCACAAATGGTGCATAATCTCCTGGATAAATGAATAGTTCTCTCAAAGTGTATGCCTGTGTCCTAACGTTTGGAAGAAAAGTTACATGCAACAAAAACACTGTTACAAGTAATTTGTCTGATCACCAGTGTCTTCAATAAAGTTTTGCAAGAGGTAAAAATTGAGACAGATTCCAGAGCATTCCATCTTAAGGACTTAATAACCATTATATATTGAGTTCTCTTGCTTCCACAGTCTGAGACATCAAATTAATATGACTGTCTGGTGTTGCAAAGCACATCATTAACTGGCCTTCATCACAAAACTAGAAGCTACTTTAAAAGCTGCCCAATGTTTTTTGTTAAGTATTTCAAATAAAAAGAAAATAGAAAAACCATTTTCACCATAAGTAACTGTTGGCCACATTCTCAGAGTTCATTCTCAATACCAATATGCTGGATAATGTATGGATATTAAAGGGAGAATTTACATGTTAATCACCTCTGTGATTTAAAGGACAAGGCACACAGTACAATGATAATGCCCACCCTGATTTGTTCATAAGAGAGTGAATTTCTGACGCTTGAGTGACATGGGAATGAATTGGTCAGAAATGAATATTTTCATGGCCTGTTGAAGAGGTTCGCATGTCATCATGGAAGTTTCAGATTATTTAAGCATTTCGCAGGAAAATTATCTCATTCTAGGTTGGTCAGTCTTACATTTGACCACTTTCTTTTTTGTATTGGTTGTTATATTGGTATTCCAACTCCCTGAAAAACATCATTACAACCACTGATTTTTCTTTGTGCTTAGTAATGCAACCAGGTTAGTTTACAGTTTCCTCAGGGTATTGTGCTGCTGCATTTGATGAGGAATACATTTCCACACATTTTTTGGCCACATCTAAAGAATGGTTTTTTAGTGGTTTTTAGAGGTTCTTTGCATCTGGCATAGCACAAGTTCTTTTTGGAGAACCCCTTGTTTCAGGGTGCACATCGCAACACATATACTAAAAGACTAACTGACTCATCCTAAATAAACTTTTAACTCTAAATGTCTCATGTTCATTCACCTATCTTTAACACAAATAAACCAAAATTCAACAGTTTATAAAGACCCCCCCCCCCCTCCCTCCCCCAAAGAGCATGTGAGAATTTCTACAATTAGTGTATATGTGTTACACAATTCAATACCTTGTCATCTTCTGGTAAAACTTCTGGGGACTCTTGCCTTTCTTTAGAGCATTGGGAGACCATATCTAAATGACATCTCTTGTGAACGACACATGTGCAAACTGTCAACAACAACAACAACAAAAATAAGACATACAAAATAAAAGCATCAAAATCATAACTTGACTGAATGAATAAATAGTAGTTCTTATTCATCCAGACAAGAGAATAAGTAAGTAAAAATAAACAAATAGGTGAATAAATGAATGAATGAAATCAAAATCAATTAACCCTTTAACTCCCATGAGTGATCAAGACAGAATTTCTCCTTGCAATATCAATAAAATAACAAGCAGACAAGTGATGAGAATATAGAAAAATATCAGTTAGGGAATTATAAGTTGATCCAAAACCAAATTCTCCAAACTAACATCACAAAAACTGTATGGGAGAAGTAAAGAGAATTACTTGTGAGATCTTGAGAGTTAAAGGATTAATTTTTTTGCAAAGCAGAAAAAGAACATGAAAATTCAACTTTATTTACAGATGGCCAGAACAGCAACTTGTACTTTTTTTTAAACAAGTGTTTGCAAGATGCTATTTCACGGTCAACAAAAAAAGTATTGCAAGCTTTCCCTAATCTACAGTATTAACAAAAGTTTTTTCATCTATCAAGTAATGATGAAAGTCTCACCTTGGCATTGATAGCCTTGCTTGTTAATGACGCCCCTAAAAGGTAAAACAATAGGGCAGATAGTCAGTAAACTCTTTAACTCATAAGAGTAACCATCAGGTAATTCTATTTATCACCAAATTAATACTGCTGAATCATTCATTATGATCAATGGAAAAAGGAAATAATTTCCAAACTAGGAAGCTTTGATTGTTAAAAAAGTCTCCTTGTCAGTCCAAAGAAAATGCCTCGAGAAGAGTATCAAGAATATGGATAATGATGTTGGGGTGCAAAGAGTTATAGAAAAAAAAAATTGACTGATGTAACTAATCAGGCCACACCCTTGAAAAATCTGACTCGAGGGGAGAGGGAGGGAAGTGTCAAATTTTTCTCCTTTGGCAATGTAAAAAAACAGAGATAAACTTTGCAGCAATCTGAATACATTTGGTGCAAATAGGCAGTTTTGAATAGAAGGCAGGTAGTTTTGAAGACATTTAGAGGTCTGGGCTATAAACTAGAAGTTTAGACTATTGCATCTGCATTTTCTGCATTTCATGGTCTACTCCAATTTATGTTGCCTTGCCTAGATGTCAAGCAATTTGAAGAGGATTAAATATATATATCACTTCACTTAAATATAAATTTAAGTGAAGGCTACAATGAAGTAGATCTACCAGCAACCCTGTCTGCCATGGAAACCCCCCTAAAGTTATGGCTAAGAAGGAGGTTGATGATCTGTGACAACCTGATAGAACATGCTTAGAGAGTAGATTTCACCATTCATGTTTCAAAATCTTTAACTGTAGCTAATCACCAGTTACACCAGAGCATTGTGTCCTCTTTTAAACAACACAACTGTGTTGCATTCTATCAAAATTCCAACAAAAGGTTGTGCCACTCGACATTATTCTTGAATTATTTATCCATTAGCATAATAATAACCAGGGAAAAAGCCTAAAAAGGCTACTATTTTCAAAACAGCTCTCTTAAGGTACACCTTGCTTAAATTCTAGACATTGTTCACAGTGAATATTTTCAATATCATAATTCTCAACATTATCATTATCATCATTGTCATTATCCACCACTTTCAGCGACAGTGAGGTGAAAGTATGTAGCACACAGATACCCAAAAAAATAAGTTTAAACTATTTCTTTCAGTATAACAAAAAATAGTTGGAAATTAACATCAACCTGTGATTTTGTCTCTTCAGCTTCTCATAGGTGAATAGCACTTGCCATTCACCTCTGAACTAGCCAATCAGCATGTGCTAAAAGCACTATTCACTTGTGGGGTGTATACTAATACCAATTATTACCTTTGGAATAATTATTGTCATTTTTTTAATTATTAGTATTATCATTATTACTGTTATTAGTTATATCAATTATTACCATTATCATAAGTATTATATTCTCTTTATAATTATTATCTTCTTTATCAATGCAAATGTAGTATTGTTATTATTAACATTATTGTTACTACCATTCATACCACTGCTATCAATACCACTACAAAAATTATTTTAATTATTAATATTTTTTATTTCCATTTTGGTAGAATTGCTTTGTTTCATTTCAATCAAATTGCAAAAATGTCTCACTTTCTTTACATTGTAACCATTACTTGGGATGCAAGTGGCAGACCATGTTAAAAATTTGCATGAGCATCGTCAAAGTCAGATACAGAAATTAGCCACATGTTTGTGTTCCACTTAAGTCGAGCCCTATTGGCTGATGATACTATATGGATGGGTGACCACACATTTCCTGTGCCGCTGACTTTTTTTTTGGCTTTATTTTTTCATTCCTGTTCTTTTGAGAGTTAACATTAGATTTATTATTTTCCATATAAAACTGGAGTACCCATGGATAACAATCAACGCATCCCACATTGAGGTCTCCAGATGTCTTGCTCTAAATGAGCTTGGGATGAAAAAAAGGAGTGGCAACTTTGAACACTGGATTCTTGCAACCTTTGAACTTATCAAAGTAACAATCCTATGGTGGATTCATTACCTTCTAGAAGTAATTCACAAAAACAAAAATGGGCAATTTTCAAGCAACCACAAAAATCCAAAATGTGTTTTGGATTTTTAAGATTTTAAGATTTTTCAAAAAGCTTTATCACATGAATCAGACATAACATGTTCCTGGTAAAATTAGGGGAAAAGTACCTAAGTCTAGACTGAAGTGGAGTCCATACAATTAGTGAATGTTAAAATATTAAACATGGGAATAAAAAATCCAAAATGTGTATAATTAAGATTTTACAAAAAAGGTATTGCACAACAGACCTGGCATATTTAGCCCAATAGACATCTTGACATAAAAACCCCTCTTATTTTAACCAAACTCTGACTCTCTCTTTTTCATTGAAGTTTCACATCAAAACCTTTTCTAAACCCACACAGGCAACACTGAAATACAAAACTGTTGGTATATTGATAACAAATTCACAATTTTACTGCCTGTTTCCAATGATTCAACAACAACAATTCTTTTGCTCAAGTTTTAGAGTGCCTCTTGTGAAAAAGCTTCTCTTTAATGCAATGATCCCATTCAAACCACTGGCCATTAGAAGATATTAAAATGCTCAAAAAGCTTAACCACAGCTCCATAAATCATCAGGCTTTTAATTACCAAAACCACTGTGGTTTTAGCATAATATTTGGCTCATATGAACATATTTGAGCAGCTGTTGTCTGCTGATGATTTCAAACCCACAAACTAGGATAATGAAACAACTCGTGTTGGCATAAAGAAAGAGCATGTCTCAATCTGATTGAAGACATGGAATACATGTTTCTCGTACTTTTGAGGGTTCTACAAAAAACAACTAATCCACCAGAATAGGAATTTTTCAATTGACCAAAAGTTAGTTGCACTGAAGCATTAAAGCTTTCTTCAGACTGCTTTTAACAACACAATACCACCCTATTTCAAAGCATGCTTGTTTTCAACATTCTAACTTTTAATCTCAAAACTGAACGGGTGAAAACACTTTTTGTAAGAACAGCAGAATTAAAAACATGAATTTTTGTGCCATACATAATGAAACAAAACAATTGTGAAATTACCTTCAGGATAAAAAGAGTTTTAAGCAGCTGTTAGTATACTCTTTTCCAAGCACAATTTGCATAATCTTGATGAAATATTTGAACTTAAAAGGCCTCTCCAGAAACAAGGAATAGTTTTAATGCTATACTACCTTCTGCAATAGCAGCTGGGCATAAAGAAGAATTTTACTGATAAGTATAGGATTACTCTACAAAATAAGCCTATTACACTTAATAATTTGGGCTTCATCAACTTTGAGTGGCCACTGTAAAGAGATTGTAAAGCTGACTATTCAAGCGTTTGCCCTTCATCAGAGAAAATTAAGGGATAACTGGCTGCGTGTGGTTTACCTAGAGAAAGAACTAGTTATGCTATTGGTAACATGCAAAACCAGAGAATAAATCAGTTGAATGAAAAGCATTTGATGATAACTTGAGGATTTTAAGATAAAATGTCTGAAATGCAAAGAACTTATTAAATATCAACATCCAAAGTACAACATATACAAGGTTTGATCACATGACAAGACAAAAAAATAAAGACAAGTGATGAAAATTTCATCAAAGCAATGGAGTGGATCAGTGGATTAACAAGATTTCAAAAACAAGAAAAAAATTTTCTTTTTTTAAAATTTAGAGTGAGGACAAAAATAGTGGTTGCGATTAATCAGGAGATTAATTTAACTCCTCCAAAGCAATAAAAATTGTGAGATGTGGTTCATTGTCGAATGTCTTGTAAGCTTGACGCTATTTCCTAATAATCCAAACCCTGAAGAAAGACATATCCAAGTCAACTGGGAAACTCCTGATTTTCATGCCTCATGTTGATCAAGTCTTGGAGTTTGTACCTTTTATTACAAAAGGTCACAAGTCTTGATCAGAGCTTGAATTGACAGCCTTGACAACCCCCTAAGTATAAGTGAAATTATTTACAAATGTCATTCCTGAGCAGCTTTTCATTGAAATCTAGAACTGTATTAATACGAACAAACACATTTAAGCTACACATCATTGAAGGTATACAATTGAAGATCTGGTTCTGCAGTTGCATATCAATAAACCACAGCTTTTCACAAAGTGTAGAATTAAAATTCTCCTCTTTCATAGAATACTTCCAAAGCTAATGATAACAAAAACATTTTTTCTCTGTAAGCATCTATAATGCACTTTGAACAAGTCAGTCAGTCTCAGAGGTGAGCAATATATGTTTGTTAACTTCCTCCTTCTATTTCTTTCTCTAATACACCGCTTGTTAAGGTATTTCCATGTCAAGATCAAGATTCATCAAAAACAGCTTTCGAGATTACGATTTCATGGTCAAAGACTATGGGAAAAGAAATGTCTAATATGCAACCCCAAAGTCAAAGATGAAGGGAGAACAATATTTAATGTTCAACCCCCCAAAAAAGCGTCCTTCCACAGTCATCATTCCACAAGGCCTATTCAGGTTTTATTTCAAGTATATATCGATACTTCCCTGTAAGAATCAAAATAAAACTGAAACGGAAGATACACAGATTCTGTGTTTCCTAAAACTACACTTACAGTATACTCACTTTTGCTATTGTTACAATTGTAATTTGACACAGAGTAAAATATGATTCTGTAATCCTAAACGTAAACAACAAATTTTTAGCTCCTCCAGTTTATGCGTGGCAGGTAGTGGCCTTTTCGCGTTGGCTCTTTTGCAGTCATGTGATTTCTAGCTGGCAAGACTCTTCCGCTTTCGCTAAGTTATTATTTTATTTCATTTACATATGACAATAAGAAAAATAATAGAATTTTACTCAGTCATACCAGAGCAATTTTGCACTCATTTGATATTACCGATACCTCCTTTCCCCCAGAAGAGACAAGCCTGTAGAAATGCAGCAGAACGAACAGACATGTTTAAGGTAAACATGATCGAAGGTATACAATTGAAGGTCGGGTTCTTTAGTCGGGTTAAATCAAAAACAGTAATAGAAATCAGTCCTTTGAACTTAAGCGCAGACCGCGGCTTCTCTTTCCTTGATTGCACCCATGCAGTGAGAAGCTGTAAACATATACTTCTGTTTCAACTGTTACACTACATACAATGATTTCCACAAAGTAATAAACATATTTAGAACCTGACAACTTCTTCATTATCAAATACATTAACAAAAATATTTTGATGTTTGATCATAATTCACACAATTTTCATACTTTTGAGAGATTTTTCTGTAATTTTGGAATAAAATGAATTACGGTTAGTTTAGTTACCTTGTTGCTTACTGAATTTACCCTCGAATAGAAAAAATAATTCCAATTTTCCTCGAGAGATCTTTTTGACTTGGTATTATTTCAAACCAGCTGAAATTCTTTAACTTTCCTTCCATATCACTGATAGTAATGGTTTCACAAATTTGTTTATATTAATCAAATTCACAAGCAATCTTCACATCATCGCAAAGTTCTGCAAAATTTGCTTCATCTCTATATCAAGGCAGAACTGAAAATTTCTCATGATGTAACAGTCTGAGGCATAAAAACCAAACAGTTTCTTAATTTCAACAAAAAGACAATAGTATTAAAAGTATATAACACAAAATTGCATTCACATTAATTACTGTACATCAATAGCGTGAAAAGATGCATCAAAGAGAAAAATAAATTATTTCGCAAAATTGCTCTCGAAGTTGATCGTACTGAAACATAATCATTGTGTCAAAGCCGTTGTAAGGGGCTTAGTCGCACAGTAACTGTGGATATGCCTGGCAAAACAAATAATAGGCATGTGGTTGCCGACTAGAGAAGATCGCAAACCACGCATTCAAAACAAAATTATGCATTTCATTTATCCTAAAAGTGTTTACAAGAGAAGTCACACGCAAGAAAATGAAACGGGAAGCTATCCACGGTTTTTAGACATAGATTAATTTTTAATAGGTTTAATCTTATTCCATTCAACTTATTGCCGCCTTTTCACTCTTTCTTTGTGACTTAAGGTACAGTGTCCTCTTGTTCAAAGCTTTTAAATTGGTCACGTCGGTGGGGTAACTTAGATCGCGTGCAAAAGCTTTGCAAAAGGGTGATTTATTCTCTGCACGAATACAATGAAGTAGGACACTTCCAAGTTCAGAGCGTGTTTTTTTTAAAGATTCATTGTACTGAAAGAGCGACTTCGTAAAATGTTTAATACCCTAGTAAAAGCTGTTATGATATTGCTTGGTAAACAAATACTTTCAAAGCTCAGAGAAGAAATGTCAAGCGTGCCTTCATTGTGAGTCACAAGAAGGTTGTCACTCAGGGTAACTCCAAAAGAAAGCGTTTATTGAGCAAAATTTCAAAAGAAGCCATTCTGCAAGTAAAAGCTATCATGAGGGCATCTGCTCTATCCGTTTAATGTCTAGGATCAAATTCAAATGCAAAAGGAAACTAATCGGTCAGACCAGCTGAAAAGGAAAATGTCATTGTTGCTTTTTGTTATGGTAGTAGACACGTTGGCTTTCAGTCACACAACCAAAGCGTAAATTATGGATCATTTTCATGCAAAATCATCCACAAAAGAACACAATACGAAAACTGAAACACTAAAATGTCCTTCTCACCAGATGAACTCCTTGCAGTGGCTACAAAAAGTCGGCTGTCTGAGGAAGGTTGCCATGAATTTGTGGCCGCTTATTTGATGCACCCTTCTACGTACAGCCCCTCTTCGGCCTTTGATGCCGCCTTCCCTTTCCTTGAACACTTTCCTCTCTCTGTCTGTTGACAATAACAACAAAACACGATTCCTATTTGACTGCACTTTGCCTGAAACATGAATTACTTAAATACACGGCTATTAGCGACCCTGAATCACCACTTTGTCGCTCTGTAACACACAGTCTGCATGACGAATAAGAAGTCGCTCTAAATCGAAGCAACATCTTGCGGCGATCGAAGCTCGCTCCGTGGCGTTTGAATTCCACACATAGACAGTGAAAACAAAACATTACCATGAAAGTTGTTTTTCAAATGAAAACAATAGCATAACGAAAAGGTATTCTGAGGAAAAAGTTTCATTCAGGAGACATCACAAACGGTTCGAAACTCGACATGAAAATTTACAACTTACCTTGCATGGCCGGTTTAAGTTCGATATAGAGATGAACTCTCCCTTCGGGCTCGAGTGGAATCTGGAGATGCATGATAAAATGGCATAAGAAATAGACAGCACTGTGACTAATTAAGTCCCTTTAGAGAAAGAGAAACTCAAACAAATCGTCCTAACCGTACCCAGATATCAGAGGTTCCCGATTTGATGATCTCTTCCAAAGGCACAGACGAATTCGCCAAAAACGGATCGGGCGGCATAATTGCGTTATGAAATACAGTAATTCCTAATGTCTCTCCATTTTCTATCTCACTTTCAAACTCCTCGTTCCAAATTGGCGTCGAAGTTTTCGGTTTTGAAGACGTCTGCGCTATATGAACATCATCCACATGAACGGATACGTACGGATCGATAGATTTGACTCTTCTCTGAGCCAACATCGCCGGTTTTAAGTCTATTGCCTCCAGCACCGTGAGTTTGACGGAACCCGTAAACACCATGTTGCTGCCAAAAAGCTCCCTTCGTCAAAGAATGATACAGAAATACTTCTAAAATCTACGGGAAGTTCGGCATTCCCCACTTTGTTCGCGACGCCGAAACAACTAATATTCCACTCAGCTCCAGTAAATGATAACAATATTCTAATGAAATCACAGCGGAAGAGGACAAGAATTTCCCGTCATTCACAGTCCTCTCGTGAAGTTTCGGAAAATTACGAGAACGTTCGGGGAATCATCTCGACTATTTTCGGCATATTACGACCTTCTTCGGCAAGGGTGCGGCAATTTGAGATTCCGTTGTGAAGGAAATAAGTGTTTAAGAAATAAAACACAAAAGCGATGAAATGTTTAAAATTGATCTATTTGTTTATCATAATATTTATCTGAGTAAACAAGGTGTGAAGCTCTGAAAAACCCTAAAAGTATTCCAAATATTTTCCTTTCAGCAGAAAATTGGATTAAAAGGGATTCTAGGCAAATATTATTTATCACTTGAAAGAGATTGTTGTCAGAATTCCATTCCATTTAATAGAAGCAATCGTAAAATACATAAAGAGAGAGACGTTGAATCCGGCAATTACGCCAGCACAAAAAAATTCTTAAAGCACAACATGATTTTACTTTATCGGCAGATAAAAATACTAAGAGGACTGTTTCAGTACTAACTCTGTAACAGATGAAGATAGTACCTTATAAAGCGTTACTAAGATTTGTAACACGCGACAAATTTGGAAATGTAAAAGTAGCAACGGTCAAGAGGATATGTTCATATTTTATTGAAAAAATTGTTCTGCCTTTAAAAGGGAAAAAAAATTTTTCAACTGTTTATGCACCAACTGAGAATTAGCGTGGGATGTCCGTAAATGAAAAAAAATCCATTGCCGCCCCTGCAGGATACAGGGCGGAGAGCAGCGACCGAAAAAGACAAAAGCGGAAATGGTTGCATTCACTTCTTCTCTGCTTATTTACTGAGTCTAAAATGCCATTATATTCTCGTTTATCTTGAAATTTTTACATCGATAAGACAGAGGCAGAAATCAATCTCAACAAGGCGTTGAAAATACGTTAAAACAAACAAAAACATCAGAAGATAGGAGTCTCCAGCCGGGGTTACTCCCATATTTTCTCTGAAGTGTGTACACCGCCCTACATGGTTTGATTTTCGAGGCCTTGAGACTTGAAAAGGATCAGTAATTTTACTCAACCATACTTTTTCGATCAAACGTCCGAGTTAGACTAAAATACAGCCTCGTCAAAACGCCGGAGCGTGGTGAAGGGTAATGCTAATTTTGAAATTAACGTCTGAGTGTTTAATCGAGGTTGTGATGTCTATTTGCGGTGGAGCTGACAAACAACCAAATTGTGAAAGATCCCGAGGGAGGATTGGGGGGTCCGAATCCACTCTCTGCAAACAGACCAGTGAGTACTTTTACTAAAGTCGAACCTTTATGAACGGCACCGAAATCAAGAGTTGTATTTTTAGGTGAGCTTTTGTACATGAGTGATTAATTATGGCATAATTAATCAGTTTTTTTTGGTTATTTTTATAACATGCCTATTCTGTGGGTCCTATATTTAGCGGTCAACCTGCAATAAGTGGTCACCGCGCCATTCCCCGTGGGTGATCGCTTAACACAGGTTCCACTGTACTTTCAAGGGAAATTATTTCAACGAAAGGATCGAACGTCGCCACTCAACTTGATGTCTTTAAAATTTACTTATTTTAAAATATTTTATAGATTATTCAGGCTCTGATGTGAAAAGAAAATTTCGTGTTTCCTGAATCAAATTTTGGTCCCCTCCCCCTCCCCCTACTCCCCACGCTTACTAAAATTCCCAGATCAGCCCCTGCTACTCTTCACTGAATATATGAGAATGCTTCGACATAATTTTGCTTTAATTTGGAAAATGTATACATGAAAAACGTAGATAAAGGAAACGAATGATCCCTACGGAAGATCCACAGAGAGTTTGTGCGGCTAGTCGAAGGGAAAATCGTACCGTCTCGACCAACCTCAGTTAGTCACGGGGACGGATGAGAAAATCAAATTGAAAAAAAATGACAAAGAGATTCACTCCGTTAATAAACATAAAGCCCTGCATAACGATTCAAGTCAGCCTCAACTAAACGCCGGGTTTCTCAGGGCCAGATGAATAGGGTGTGAACAGAGCGGCCGGTTATACAAGTATGGTAATAGCAATCATGTTTTTAATCTTATTTTAAAGCTTCTTGCTCAGCATACAAGACGAAGCGTGAAGTGAAGTTTATATGCCACTATTAAGATGATCAGAAGCCTTTAGCAGGGCAGCTATATGAACGAAAATGAGGGCGGGACACGCCCAAACACACTTCCTTAAAGTTCCTTCAAAGATTTTTCAAATTACATTAATATTCTTTTAATATTTATCGGTAAAATGAGAGATCAAACTAATCAACACAAAGTGCTGAACATCAACGACAACAAAACAGACCAGACAACCCAATCAAATCACTTCCTTATGTTCCCAAGTTCTACAAACTCCTTGCTTTTGCGGTAAATTTATCACGCTAGGTGTGGCACAATGAAGCGTCACCGAAGAAAAAAAAAGCACTTTAAATGGAGAGACATTAGAGCAGTTATCCAGCGAAGTAAAACAAAAAAATAAATCAATGCAATCTGGAAGTGCAAAAAACTGGCAGGCTGAAATTAACCGGAAAAAAAATCAGAATAAAGTGAAAGTATTAACAACTTATTTTTCACCTCAGGGGCACTCTGAAATTACATAGACCGATAAGGAAAAAACCAGAAAGATGCATTCAAGGTGCAAATATATATATTTATTTTTTCGTTCTATATATTAAATTTCTTTTCAAACGACTTCCTCTGGCCTCCATTGAGGATTTCTAGAAAACTGTCTGGCGAATTATATAAAAATTTACAAAAATATATATATATCTATAAGGCCTACCCCGCCATAATGAAAAAGCTACGTTGTCCGTGAAATGTGATTCTTCTGCAGTGTGACTAATTATCATCAGAGTGAGAGATTTTAAGAGGAGACTTTTTACAGTAACCCTCCGAGAGGCCAAGAGCCACAAATGTTTTTGATGCAAAACATTACAATAAGTACTAAGTTCATTAAACCGGGGTCTTATAAAGAAAATGGCCACTACATGTCAAAGGTTGGTTGCATCTTCAAAACGCAGCAGTACATTCGATGGAACGAGCTATTTCCGGGTGGAATGGGTTCTAAATTTCAGTCTCCAAAGAACGTTTAGGACGTCAACACCTATTTGAGGGATGGAAGGGTAGGGAGGGAGGAGACAAGTGGTACTCGTTCCATCGAATGTGTCAAAAAGCCGAAGACTCCTTCGGCAAGATTTTATTATTTTAAGGCAAGCTTAAGATCATTTAAATAAGTAAGCCCCCAAAACTTTATACAAGCTATTGACAAAAAACCCGCCAGATTAATAAAAACGACTGTAAGGAGTTACAGAGCCAAGGAAAAGAAGCCAGGCTAGTATCGTATGTAGCTTGTTACAAGCCCGCAATCAGTGGAGGCGAATTAAAGAGCCGGCAAACTACAGACAGCGGTCGTTGTTGACAGGGAATCGGCTGGATTTTTTGTTTCCAGACCTCCGCCGTTTTTTGCGCACCTACGTTTTCGCTCGTTTCCACTGACCAAGAGCCTAACACAGCCTATATCGTATCAGAAAAATTTATATTCGCTAGATCTCTAAAGATTCTTTGCCACAACAGTTCAATAGCAAAGGAACGAACCGAGACTTTCCAAATACAATCGGATAAAACACCCAACACGTGGCAACCTCGGGAAAATCACGTGAAGAGAAGCACAAATGGCACGTGATATGCTAAGCAGGCACGTCCTTTGCTCCTGATGACCCCAACAAGAAGAACTAACCTTATAATAACCAACACCATGCGAAATAAGAGATAAAGCAGAGAGTTTTGAATTTGGCCATAGGCCCTTACTCCAACTCCTAACGAAGTTATGACATAACGTTGATAATTCTCACAAATTTGGCTATATATTATTTCCCTAAGTCTTTCGTAACCAGTGGTTTATAAATAACAGCCTTATTTATCTCTCCATATTGTCAGAAAATTTACACATTGGATTGGACCCTTGGTATAAAAGTCCTATTGAAACGTCAATTGAATGACGCAAGTTAAACTTCAGAGGCATGTGGCCGCGAGCTCAATCATCAGGTTGAAAGTGAATCACAAATGCACAACGAGGTTGTAAAAATGTCACTTATTTTATGCACTAGAGAATATCGCAAAGCGATTAGCATTTTTCTGAAATCACCATTCGCTGAAAGAAGTTAATTACAAGCCTGAGATGATTGTAAAATTTTAAGTAAATTCTTGCAAGTTATCAATGTTTAATATTGAGACTAACTTAAGCGGTAAATGATTCTTCTTTTGCAAAAAGTCTTATTGACTTAACTGAAGGCTTATTTCATTTGTTTAGGTAGCTCTTTGTCGTGATCACCAGGGCTCTCATAAGGCTAGCAATAGAGGCTGTCTGGTTAGTTCTATGATTAGTTTTATGGATAGGAAAAAATAGCCCCTCAGATAGGGCCCTTAAGCGCAGCACAAGAAACGCTTCTCGTGTTGCTATACTAAAATACCTCTTCATTACTAAATTTTTTTTCCTGTATTGGATCAAGTTTACTCGACATCGAGAGAAGTTGGTAGGCCGCTTTCACATCTCCAGGATACTGAAGTCTTTTTATATGTAACAACTCGTCAACTTATTCTTTGTAGTTCTTCTCATCTCATTTGTAGACTTTTTTTTTTCCTTCAAACCAGATGAATTCAAGAAGATCATTCAAGTCATCACGTGACCCGATGGCTGCTGTCCACGTGAGTGTTCTTCTGGAGGCTGACGTCACGTGATTTGAGCATGTCATGCTCTGTTGGCCCACTGAGCCTAAAAATTTGTCATAATATGATAATTTAATGTAGATCCGAAACAATTGGGGGGCTTTCAAAGCAAAATTTACCATCACTTTTTTCGATTTAGGTACAGGCGATTATTCCAAATTTCCAATTTTTTCCCCGCTGACCACCTGAGGTTTCACTTGCGAGTTTTTGGATGACGGCCTATGGGGACATAGATTTCAACTACGAAAATGTA